TTTTTTTAATGTTTATTTTTGAGAGAGACAGAGAGAGCATGAGCAGGGGAGGGGGAGAGAGAGGGAGACACAGAATTGGAAGCAGGCTCCAGGCTCCAAGCTGTTAGCATAGAGCCCGACATGGGGCTCAAACTCACAAACTGTGAGATCGTGACCCGAGTCAAAGTTGGACGCTTAACTGACTGAGCCGCCCAGGCGCCCCTGGGACATAGTTATACTTTTAAAAACTCAATGTTTGATATATACTTTGGTAAAAAGTTATTTGTTGTTTATCTGAAATTCAGATTTAACTGAGTGGCCTGCATTTTATCTGGGAGCCCGCCCTGAGATGTGTCCTGGGATTCGAGAGCAGGAGTCAGCTGAGGTAAGGAACAGTCTAGAGCTTGGCCGGACGACCATCGGGCCATCCCTCTTGCCTCTTTTCTGCTGTTCACCGGTCTCCCTCTCCCACCCGAGAGGTTCAGACCCTCCGGGGACACGGCTGCCACATGCTCCCAGTCCTACTCATGACAACACCAGCCGCCTGCAGAGCCCGACTGGCCCATCTCTGGCCCTGAGAACGAGTGGCCCAGCTGGGGCCAAGGCGCACCTCTGGTCCATTGGGATTAGGTGAGGGGGGACAGGTCAGAGGGTCCCAGTGGGGCTGCCTCGGCCTCAGTCCAGTAGACTGGAGGAGGGGGCCCAGAGAGGGGTAGTAGTGAGCTGGGCAGACCCTGGAGAAGCTGCGGCCCCAGGAGGATCTTCCCCCAACACTTAAAGGGTCTTTTTTCCACCAGGAGAGCAGAAGGTCATGGCCCAGAACATGCTGAGCCCCAAGTGGGCCTGCTGGGACTCACGGGAAGAGACTCAGAGGCGGCTGTGGGTCTCAGCCCCACATGAGCGGCCCCTGGGGCCCGAGTCTCTGGACACTGAAGGGGAGGGTATATCCCAAAGAGGCCTCTGCATCTTTTCGGAGGGAGCAGGCCTGAGCTGGGGTCTGAGGACAGGTGAACAGAGCACCTGTCCCGGGGACGGAAGTGCACGTGGGGAATCAGGCGAAGCCCCAGTAGCTGGAGGTTTGTTACACGGGGAAAGAACCGGCCCCTCCCGAGGGATGAAGCCGGCTACCTGTCCAACGCGGACAGTGGGTAGACGGCAGGAAGGACTTCCTAGGCGAGGGACCTTTGGAGCCGGGAGGGAGGGGTGCACGGAGGCCGGGTGTGGGGAGAGGGCCAGGGAGCCAGCCTCCCTCCGGCCTCCAGCAGAAGCAGCCCACGGTGAGGAGGAGCCGTCGAGGCCACACGGGGTGGAGCCACCTGCCAGCCCACACAGGGTCTGCTGCCTCGCGGAACCCACCTCGCGTGGGGACCGGTCCAGGGGTCCCCCACCTTGACCAGGCAGCCGACGACCCCTCCCTGGGGTGGGGGGGAGACCCGCTCAGGGAGGCCACCTGCTGGGTTCTGAGAGGGGCCTGGGTCCCCTGCGGCGGAGACCCGGTGATCCCGGTGCTGGTGGCAAAAGGCGAGGCCGGAGCAACCCGGAGTGCACGTTAAATAAAGGTTCACACACACACACACACACACACGCGCGCGCGAACCCGCATGGGCCTTGTCACTAAGGGGAGGGGGCCTGGGGGGCGCGCAGCTCCCACGCCCCAGCTCTGGCCCCTCTGCGGTGTCTGTGCGAGGACCGCACCGTGGTGACCCCGAGGTCCTGAGAACAGGTGCGGCATCGCCACAGCACGGGTGTGCCGGCTGCCCAGGGCGCGCGCGGGGTTCGCCGCGAGAACCACGCGGGACTTCCGGCCAACTGCTCACAAATAAGGACCATCTGGGCCACGGACCGGGCTTTGCAATCAGTGGGCACACCTGCCCTGAGCTGGCCCCTGCCCCCCGCCCCGTCCTGCTCCCTCGCTTCCCGAATCTAGTCACAAGGCGGTGACCGCCGTGGACCTGGGCGCTGTGTCTTCAAGCCAACACGGTCCCGTTTCTGACCGTCCTGGTTGCCATACCAGGAGCCCTGGGAGGTAAGGTGCCCCCCTGAAGCAGCCAGCCCCAAGAAAGGCCTCCGAGAAAGGGGTCAAGAGTCTCCTGCCGAAAACAGATTTCCCTTGTAGAAATCCACCGGCAAGCAATTAACTATGCAACGGGCCCGCCCCTGGGCGGCATGGAGCAGGGGCCGGGGTGGGAAGGGAAGGCCCCCCGCCCCCACCGTGGCTTTTCCACGCAGCCGGAAGAGTGTCCTGCAAAGTCACCCCCGATGCTTGTCAAAATGTGTGCGTACCGTCAATGTGAGGGGTTCGGTCAATACCTGTGCTCTCACTGCCGACAGATTAAATGGCAAGACTGAAAACAGCCACAGTTCTCAAGCGGTGAGGGGTGTCAATTTCAAGATATCTGGACAACGGTGATCGATATAGCAAGGTCACGGGGAACACTGTCTTCAGCTGTCTCTGGCCCTGGCCCTTGCCCGTGCTGGTCCCTCAGCATGGACCGCCTGCTCCCCTTGTCTCTACAAGGCCGGGCCTCACTCAGCCTCTGGGCTCAGATGTTGCCTCCTTCGGGAAGGCTTCCCGGAAGCACACCCCCATCACTCAGCCTCTAGGCAGGTGCCTATGCACGAGGCTCTGCATGTGTCCCCACAAGTGCAGATGCCACAACCACTGCCACCACCTGTTTCTGCCTCTGTCCCCCCACAGGGGACCCTTCAGCTGGAGACACCGAGTCTCTCCTCTTTTTAAAAAAAAAAAAATGTTTATTTTTGAGTGAGAGAGAGAGAGAGAGAGAGAGAGAGTAAGTGGGGGAGGGGAAGAGAGGGAGACACAGAATCTGAAGCAGCTCCAGGCTCTGAGCTATCAGCACAGAGCCCGATGAGGGACTTGAACTCACGAACCGTGAAATCATGTCCTGAGCTGAAGTCTGTCGCTCAACTGACTGAGCCACCCAGGCGCCCCTCTCCTTTCCTTACCCCTGAGTGGCCGGGGGAGCCCAGCATGGATGAGGCCTTGGCCAACGTGTGCCGAATGAGTGAATGACTGACTTCCCTGAGGCCCGGTGTGCACTCAGAGAAAACTGGAATTGAACTCGGGCCATCGGAGGCCAGCCGGATGGGCCTTGGGTAGGGACGGGGTGGGGGGGCGTCCTTGGAGCCCAGACTCCTCCGAGACTGAGGATCTTTGAAGTCCAAGGGCTGCACAGGTAGGGCCTTCGTTCTCGGCAGAATCACCAGGGCCCGGGATGTCAGACCCACCTCTGTCCTCACCTCGCACCCCCGGCCCGGAGGCCTCATCCCCCACCAGCTCGGAAAGCTTTGGTCACACCCCGGGACCCAAGGACCACACCTGGAGGCACCATTCTTGCAGAAGCTTTATTTATTCATGGATTGAAATTTGGGGTCCAGACTCAGCTACCTCAGTGCCGTCAGCCCAGCATGAGCCACATTGACCCAGGTTGACCCAAGCCCCATCCCTGAGACCCAGGAACACTCATTTATATGATGAGGTACTGTTGTTTTGCTGGACCGTGTCCCAGAACTCTAGAGGATAATCCCACGCAAAGCAGAGGCCCGTGATGCCTAAAAGCTTGCACTGGCCACAGATTCCTGTGAGCACTTTCTCGAACTGGTCAGGGTAGACGACAAAGTTCATGCCATTGTCCTTCCCGAATGTGGCATAGCGCCCTGTATCTGTGTGTAGGTTCAGGGACCGGAAATACATTTTGTAGGAGCCACTTATCCCTATGATGCGCTCTCCCCGATAGAGGATGAATTCCTGTGGAGTTCCGGATGACGGACAACCAGACATGGTGGTCCAGGAGGATCCATATCGCACCTGGATACTGGGAGACAGGGAAGCGTTGGAGGGCCAGACCTAGGCTGAATCAGCACTCCCCAGGTGCTCTATCGCCTGGCAAGGACAGCAGCCCTGTCCCTACAGGTACGTGTCCCCACGCACGTGGATTTGGGCTCCTGACACGGAGGTCCCGGTCTCAGACCCCTGCCCTGATGCTTCCGGGCTCTGTGATCTTGGGCTCATCACCCGACCTCTCTGGGCCTGTGTCCTCACCTGCAAAGTGGGAGTGGTTCGGGGGGTGGGGGGAGAAGTCCCTGAGACCGTTGGTAAGGGGAGCTTGGAACACAGTGCCACTCGGGGGGTGCCACCTGCTGTCACTGCTCACAGTGGGGAGCTGTCCCCGGGCCCAGCTTGCACCTTCTGAGCCCCAGATACTGAGCAGACCAGGTCACAGGTCAGAGAAGCAGGTGACTCCCTCACTCCCCTGAGAGAGTTCCACCAGCTCTGCCCATCGGGGCGTCCCTGACCCCCCACGCCTCCTCCCCCCTGCCCTGCCCACACTCTGTCCCCTACGGTGCTGGCCGCCCTCCCCAGGACTGTACGTGCAGACCCAGCGAAGGCACAAGGGGAAAAGGTGCTAAGCCCTCTTCCCAGGGTCCCGAGGCCGTGGTGATAGGGCCTCGTGGCCCTGCTCCTACTCACCTCTTCAGTATGCCCAAGGAACCTACGGCCACCCGGATTCCGGTGATTTCGTATCCATGGTCTCTGGGTGTGCTGAAGTATTTGCCTCCTCCCCTCCCGTACATCTCTAGATGGATGAAGGGACGGGGTCAGGGAGAGGAAAAACCCAGACGCTAATATGTGGCTCATCCCTGCCCCGGACCGGGTGCCGCCGTGCAGGGACACGGCAGGGTCCTGAGACTAGAGTCAGTCTGCGGTCAGGGCCGGGCCCAGACCCGGGGCCTCCCGGAGCACGCAGGCGAGGGTGGCCGCTGGGACCAGAGGGCGCACACCCACCAGACTTACGTGCTGCCAAGCAGGTGCTCCACAGGAAGGCGAGTGTCAGCCTCAGCAGCATGGCTTCTGGAAGGTGAGTCCCAAGGCTCCTGGAGGGAAGAGAAGGACTCGGAGAAGAGCCCCGCCCGGCCCGGCCCGGCCCCGTCGAGGGGCACAAACACAGCCTTACCTGGCGGGGAGAGTCCTGTGGCCCAGTCCCGGTCCTGCGGAGTCTTGCTCCTGGACACTCCGCCTGGCCCTATATACCCTCCCCGTCCCTGTGGGCCCCCGTCCAGAAGGAAGGAACAAGGGCCACCGGGGGGCAGAAGGAGCTGGGCGGTGGGGGCTCTTCCTGGGGGAATCCCAGAGCCATTCTGCAGGAGCCTTCCGGACACGCTGTGTTTATTGTCTCAGCCCCACGGCCTACACAAACAAGACGGGACAGTGACAGGTTTTGTCTGTCGCTTCTGGGTCTCTCTCCCCAGCACGTAGACTAGAGCTGCACTTCAGACGTGGGGTGCTTTGCTGAGAGCCCTCCCCAGCTGGGCCAGAAAGGTGTCCACCCCATGGGGGAGCTGCCCTCTGGAAGCCCACAGAAGCTCCCTGGGGCCCGGGGGTCCCTGCGTGGTGCACAACCCGGCTCAGGACCTTATCCAGGCCCGCGTGGAGCCTGCGGTCCCCTGGGCTTCCCCGAGCTCAGGCTGAGCTCCCTGTGACCCTCGGAGAGCTGGGCTGTGTGCCTGGTGCCAGGTGGGAGAGACCCCAGGGGCTGGCCCTCCACGGCCTGTCACCTGGCAAACAGCGCCAGTGTTTGCTTTGTGCAGGGAACGTGTGTGGCTGGGACGGGCTGGCCTCAAGGGGCCTCAGGCGGACCGGACGGCAGAGGTGACAGACTCAGGCACGGATCGGGGAGAGGGCGGTTCTCCAGGCCAGTGCCCCCAACGGCCGCTGGGGTCAGGCCGGGGTCAGGCTTAGCCGGGAGGTGATGGTACTTGTCCGGGGCTGGGGTTCTGAGGCCCCTGCTGCTGCCACCGGTCCAGGCTCCCTGTGACGGGTTGGACCTGAGGTCGTCAGGGCCTCCACCCTTCGAGAAAAACCACTGGGTCGCGGTCATCAACTCGGGAGGGGGCACTGGAGCCACACGGCGTCCAAATCTCGGCTTCCCTGCTTCCCGGCATCCTGTCTGGGGACCTCCCGTCACCCGAGTGCCGCGATTGTGCCATCTGATGTCTGTGCAGGGGCCCAAAGACTCACGCGTACCGCCAGGCATACGGGGTGGTTCTTGGCCACCTCCTTTGAAATTGCAGAATATCAGGAAAAACACGCTGGTGCCTTTGGTGACGAATCACAGACGGGACGGTGTCGTCAGCGGTGGAGTTCTACACGGGCACGAAGAAGGCATGGGGCCGCTCCCGCGGCACTGCTCCTCGGCCCCAGGAACCAGGCTCGGTAGAAAGCAGGGTGTTGGGGAAGGCCCCAGTAGGTCACAAGAAAAGGGGTGCGAAGAATGGCCTCACGTGTGCGCTGACCCGCTCTGGAAGGGCCGCTCACCTCACTGGGATCGCTGGGATGGTGGTGCTGGGGGGGGGGGGCGGCCGTCTACCCGGCACCTCCTGCAAGTACAGCAGGTGTCTGGGCCAGGGGTTCGCGGGCTGAGGCCCGCAGGCCCCATCCAGCACGCCCGCCCCGCCTGTTTTAGCGCGGCCCATGAGCTAGAGCGCTTTCTACGTTTTGAAATGCTTAGAAAACCATTGAGATGAAGAGTAGCACGCGAAAATTCTATGGCATTCCAGGGCCGTTGCCCGCAGATAACGTTAGGAGCACACAGCCAAGGCCGTTCATTTGTGTATCATCTGGGGCTGCTGTCACCCCACAACAGCGGAGCCGAGCAGTTGCGACAGAGACTTTGTGACCCGGAAAACCTAACATGTGCGATCTCGGGCCCTTCACCCACAAAGTCAGCCGATCCCGGGTGGGTCCCCGTTGCCCGCCCTGGAGCAGAGGCAGCCTCGTTCACAGCCATTCACAACCCGCCTTCGGAGCCCCTCTCTGCTCTGGCCTTGGCCCTTCCTTGCGGCCCTGCACCCGTCTCCCTCGGGAGGCCCCTTGGGGCTCAGGCCCCTGCTGACTCAGGTTGGGAGGTAAGGGCTCCCCGACCCGTCCTCCCAATGCTCTCGCCGCTCCCAGGGGCAGTCAGGCTCACAGACAGGGCAGGCGTGGGGCGGAGGGCACGGGCAGCTGAGCCCGTCCACAGGCCCCCAGAACCTGCAGGGGGGGGGGGGGCCGGGGGCGCAATAGGCCCCGGGCGCCCGGCAGGCACAGCTCTGGAGGAAAGGCCTGGCGGCCACACAAAGGGGACTCTGTTCCGATCCTGCCACAGCCGCTGGGCGCTGTCGAAGGTTTTGCTGCCAATTCACGTGCCAGGCTGGCTGGGCTTCGCGCCCAGAGGAGGGTCCGTGTGGACCGGAACTCTGGGAAGCACCACCTGGGGTGGGGGCTGGGAGAAGAACCGGCCGCTGCCCAGACAACGGGGGGTGACAGTACGGGCCCGAAAGCGCACGCAAGGTGCGCGTTCAGAGTGCGTGAACGTGCGCTCACATACGGATGCGTCCTCCCCATGCACCGGGGTTTGCACACGGCCCACACACACACACTCGTGCACACGTCTTTCAGAAGGTCAGCCCTGCCCCCTCAGCTACCTGCCCAGCGCGGCCCTGGGGAGACTGAACACACGCCCTTTGTCCCTGGGGGTGGGGGCATTTGCAAGGCGGTGACCTCAGCCTGCCAGGAGCGGGACACGGGGACTTCTTTCAGCAGGGGTGGGAGGTTGAGTCCGATCTCCCGGCCCTCTGGTGCGGGGCTGGGGGGCACCGCTCTGTGCCCGCAGCCTGAGGCACAGAGGACGAGAAGGCCTCAATGCCCGCTGATGCCACGCTCCGAGCTGAGCATTTTTCTCCACTCTGTCTGGAGAAGCTGAGCGCTTTTAGTGGAATGCCGGGACACCCGAGCGCACGTTTTGTCTCATCTTTTATGGGATTAAAATCGCGCTAGTGCGAGTGTAAAAAAAAAGACGGACCATCCCCAAGCGTCAACTCCAGGGGGGGCAGGACATCCAGGCTCCGATTCCCCGAGGCCGTCCTGGCACACGTGTGCGTGACCCGGTGCATCGGTCGGCTGCGGCTGCTGTGACAAACAGCACGTCAACTCCCTCGGGCCTCGCCTCCAAGGGCCATCGCGCTGAGGGTGAAGGCTTCCGCACATGAATGGGGACACGCACACGCAGTCCACAGCCCTGGTCGGCATCTACCCGAGACTCCCCTGGGGCTGGCACCCCTCCCCCACTGCTCTCCTGACCTCCTCCCGGGGCCCTTCCCGCTGACGGCACCGCTGACCTTGTGGGCTCAGCACGCTGCCGGCCCCGGGACATCGCTGCTGCCCGAGCTTCCGACCCGCCCACGTTCTGAGCCTGCTCTCTGCTGCCTGTGTGCCGCCACTCCGGGCCTCCGTCTCTTGCTCTGTGGACGGGCCCCTAACGGATGCCCCTGCGTGAGGTCGTGAGGCAGAAGAGGACAGTGTGCAGGTCTCAGCAATCTGTCTGTGTTCCTGAGGACGCGGTCAGATGGCGCCCCCTGTCCCTTTCGGTATCAGGTGCCGGGGCCACATCAAACTGGTTTTTGAATCACGCGCTCGGCTCCTTCCCAAGGATGGTCGAGCCCTCCCTGTGTGGGCTGCCGAGGGCAGGAGCCCCGTGGGGGCGTCTCTGGGCTGGGGGGCCACCTCCCGATAGCGAGCGGACGCCATCCACACCGCACCCACGGGAGGGCCCGGAGCTTCCCAAGACCATGGCTCTCCACCAAGGGCAGGGGGTCCGAGTGGACCCAGGCAAGCTAGAGTCTTCCAAGTATAAAGTCAGCAGACATTCTCCCCAACATTTTACTACGCAAATATTGGAGCCTGTTACAAAGTTGAAAGGTTTTCACAGCCGACACCTGACCCACTCACACTCGGCCAATTACCATGTTATTGTTTTTGCACCATCGTGTCAGTGGATGTCCGTGTGACCGGCCGGCCACCCCGCCGCGGGGTCCCGTTCTGGATGCACTGAAACATGACAACCGCAGCTGCAGACCAGCGCCCCTCCTCTCAGACACCACATCACGCGTGTCACGAAGGAGACCTTGTATGGGGCTATCCCCCCCAACTTTGAAGTACAATTTTCATGCAAGGGAATCACAGATCTGGAAATGTCTATTCATGGGGTTTCGACAGACGCACGTAGCTCTCTCAGCCAGGCCTCTTTCTAGCCACAGAGCACGCCGTCGCCCCAGAAAGCTCCCTCCTGCTGTTCCCCGTCTGTCCTCCCGCCACCGGGCAAGCCCGGCCACAGCAGACATTCTTGACCTCGTGACGCTGTAGGCGCATCGAGGGGATTATCCACTTTTTAGGGAAAAGAATGGGTGATGAAATTAATCTGACCAGGAGCTCACATGGTAGGTTGAGTTCATTTAAATACGGACCAATACATACCTGTGGGAACCCTGGTCCCAGTGTGAATACAAAGTTACAAAAGTTAACAACCTTTGGACTAACGAGGACGTGAGGAACAAAATCGGGAGGGACAGCACCGGCTTCCCGAGTGTCCTAACAAATGACCACGTCTGGTGGCTCAAGACAACAGAAACGGATCCTGTCCCGGCGCCGGGGGCCGGGGGCCGGCATCCAGGCATCTGCTGGCCGCCGCGCGCAGCCCGAAGTCTCTGCAGAACGTTCCCTGCTTCTCCCAGTTGGTGGCGGGCGCCTCTTGGCTCCTAGCTGCACCCCCGAGCTCATCTCTCCGCCCGCCCCACGGGTGCCGTTCCCCCGCGTGTGACTTCCCTTTTTCTCTCTCCTGCCAGCTCTTAAACTGCCTTCTACCCAAGATAATCCCAAGATCTCTACCTTGATCACGTCTGCAAAGAAAGGCCCTGTTCCCGATATGGTCACATCAGTTGTCCTGAGCGGACATGTCCTTTTGGGGGGCCACAACCTAACCCGTTACAGGGCATCAACCGGTCAGCCTGAGGCCTACCTGGGAGCCTCTCCTGAACCCCAGACCCACTGCCCCCGACGTGCAAGTGGCCAGAACCCCACCCCCAGGTCCCCTGAGGCCCTGGCCCCCATCCACCCAACCCCATCTGCCTCTCTCCGGTGAGAGGCCCCTGCCGTAGAGCTGGGGCGCAACTCCCTCAGAGAATTATTCTCTTTGTAAACATCTTGCTGTTCTCTGGAGTCTGGAGGTGTCTGGGGGGAGCAGGCACGTATGTGTCCAGGTCCCCACCCGGCCCCACCCTACCTATGCTTCCTCCTGCCTGCCCTTGAACCTGCCTTTCCAAACAGACTTCTGGAACAGTGTTCAATCAGAAAAACGGCTATTTCCAGAGGGTGGGGTTTAGGACCTTTTTCGATTTCTCCCCTGTCCTTTGTATGGCTTTGATTGCTTTGGGTAAGACTGGACCGCTCCTACAAAAACAAAATGATAACATTTTTAAAAATTGGGATGCTTTTTTTTTTTTAACCTATAAGCTTACCAAGGCCATAGAAGTGGAAGCCCTCAGTGTCAAAAACACTGTAGGAAATAGGCCCCTCTTACTGTGTTGGAGTCTTTCTCGTGGTTTAGAAACCTTTGAAAACAGGAAGCCTGTGTGACCAAAGCACCCATGGAAAAGTCAGCCTAAGAAATGATTAGGAGGGTGCACCGAGATTTATAAACATTTACATGGAGGTGCTGTTCTATTTTTTTTTAACCTCACGTATTTATTTCAGGGAGAGGGAGAGCGGGGAAGGGGCGGAAAGAGGGAGAGAAAATCCCAGGCAGGCTCTGCCCGGACACTGCTGATGCAGGGCTCGAACTCAGGAACCATGAGGTCACGGCCAGAGCCGCAACCAAGAGTTGGACGCTTAACGGACTGAGCCACTCAAGCGCCCCAGAGCTCTTTTCACAAACAAGTCTGGTTCCGCAATCACAGAGCCACTTGGCCCGTGATGGCAAACGGCCGTCCCGGCAGCGGCGTTTGTCAGGCGGGAACCAGCAGCCCCGGGCAGCGTGTGACACATCTTCAAGCTCCCGACCGACCGCGGCTCCTGCACAGGAAACCGGCCTGCTCTGTGGGCAGACGCTCTGCGTGCGAGGCTTTGCACCTGGCCTTCAGACCGGGGCAGGGACAGACCTCCTGGGGGCGGAGAGAAGGGGTCCGACGCAGAGGCTGCTCAGGCTGGACACGGAATGGGGCACACGGCAACGGGAGGCAGGGGGCCGGGGTCCTCCTCCCACGGAAACAAGTGTGTGCAAACTGTGTTTCAGGCACCCGAGGTCCCCTGCACCCCTGCATTTCCGTGGGCCTGCTCGGTGAGCAACCATCCAACGAGGAAGCAGCACCTGGTGCCCTTCCGTCCCCTGCAGGGAGCGCCAGGCGGTGTGGACGGGGCGGCCGCAGCTCGCCAGGTGCCCCCTTGTGGCAGAGAGGGCACACGGCGGAGACAGGAGCTGAAAGACCAGAAGCCGCCCGATCCGGGGATCCTACAGGAGGGGGCGGAGGGCAGGACTGCTAGAACCCAGCTGGGCCCAGAGACACGGGGCAGCTTCTCACACGTCTCTGGTGAATCTCCCCAGTCGAGGGTTCCACGGGAACGCTCGGTTCACTTCGGGAACACTGCCCACTGCATATCCTCGTGCAGGTTTCTTTCTTTCTTTAATGTTTATTTATTTACGTGGGGGGTGGGGGGAGGCATCCAAGGGGGAGGAGCAGAAAGGGAGAGAGAATCCCAAGCAGGCTCCATGCTGTCAGTGCAGAGCTGGACACGGGGTTCGAACCCACGAACCATGAGATCATGACCTGAGCCAAAATCAAGAGTCAGACGCTTAACCGGGTGAGCCTGTCAGGAGCCCCGACCCCGGAGTATGGCCGGAGTCGCAAAAGACGAGTCCGCAAACAAAAACGCAGTCAGGCGAAGGTCCTCATGCTCGAGCGGGAACGAGGCCCGGACTCCAGAATGAAGCTTCTTTTTATCGGGATAATTGCTAAAAACTACGTGCGTCATGTCAGCTCCGCAAGCGTGGGAATCAATCTAATGGTTTAGCTTTTCAAGGTTGGGTTCCGAGTTCATTGGTTTCTATGACACTAGGAAGGGTCAGGTGTGAAGGAGGGTCCGGCCCTGGACAACGTTAACGGCTCTAGGCGCTCCTTACCGGCCACGGGGCGTTCCCCTGTGTAAACCTGTCCTAAGGCCTTGCGCCTTCTCCAGCCCTTCCCTTTGGAAGTCTTTTCCTTTGATGCTTCTCTCCTGCCTCTCCCACACCCTCTCACAGATTTCTGATGCGTTTTACCCCCATCAGAGTCCTAGAAAGGTCCTACGACAAGCAAACACAGTTCACTCTCCCAGAAGTCTGTGGGCACGGGATCGCTTTACAAACAACGTCTATTAACAGCCTTTGGAAACAAGAGTCCGTGGAAAACGCATGAGAAGCCACAGCTGCGGGGCACGTGGCGCGGAGGAGGCCCGTGGCCAGGGTCTCACGCGGGGGCCTCTCGGGCTGGGAGCTGGCGTCCCCGGGCCACCCGGTGCTGATGGGGAGGAGGCTGGTGGTGACAGGTGACGACGATGACAGCCGATGCCTGGCGTTGTCCTCACTGCTTCGCTCACTAGCCCGGTTCACTCCCCCGGCGGTGCGGAGGGGAGCGCAGGTGTGAAGGCACTGGGTGCCGTTCTCACCCCCGCCGCCGGGCACAGAGTGGCCGCGAGACAAACGCCGCCTCCGGCCACCGCGCGGCTACGAGCTGGAGCGCACACCGGCTGATTTGGGACCTTGGGTTTGCTGCCCTCACCCCTGGCGCTCCTGATTGTCCTTCGTCGCTTTCCAGGATGAAGACACGTGACTTGCACGCCCCATTTCCACTGCCTTCCCCCTCTTAAGTCTTTCTTGCGTCCCTTCTGTCGCACAATCTCCTCACGTGGCCTCACTCCACTCTCTCTTCTGACCGCTTCCGGTTTAAGGACCTTGTGATGACACTGGTCCCACCTGGGCCATCCGGGATGACCTCCCCATGTCCCGTCCTTGGCTCATCTGCAGTGTCTTTCACCACGAAAGTGACATCCTCAGTTTCCAGAGACGGGGAGGCAGACAAGCAGGGGCTCTGTGTTCTTGGCCACGACAGGTACGTTCCTCGGGGAGGAAGGCGGGCGACCACCGGGGAGCCTTCCTGTCCGAGAAGGACGTCGTGCTGCCCCTCCTCATTTGTTCGCTGGGTCTAGAGTTCAAAAACCTAAATAACTCTTTCTCAGATCTCGGAGACCCCGCGGCACTTCCTGCGAGCGCCGCGCTCCAGAATCCCGGCACCGTCGCACGGTTGCAAGCGGCGGCCCTGACGTTTGTCCTTAAAAAGCGGCGCAGGAACAGCGGTTTGGCTGGAAGCAGGTGGCCTGGGTCTGCATCTGTGGAGTCCCTTCCGTAAGCCTGAGGAAACGTCACTTGTCCACACACCATCTCAGGAGAGCGAGGGCAGTGGACTCTGTGGAGTGAACCGGGGACCCAGAGCTGCCCCGTGGTGACCCCGGGGCCCAGCGTGGACGGTCCCCCAGGGCTCACGCCCACCCCGGCCCGGACACGTCCAGCATCACCTGCACCGCAGGACGGGGAGGCGGGCGGCCGCGGCCAGACCTCCCGGAGCCTGTCACTGATTCCCGGAGGGGTCACGGAGTGTCTCCACCACGAAGGCGCGTGGCTGCACCGTCGTTGCTGGGCCACCACAGGCTTTAGGACCGCCCACCGAAGGACCGCAAAGCTAGCGACCCACTGAGAGGTGGCACGAAGGACCGTAAGGTGCGTGACGAGCAGGATGACAGAGTGGAAGGAGCGACGTCACAAGGGAGGTCCAGAGGAAGAGCAGGCGGCCACCAGACAAAGGAGGGAACATTCTAGACAAAGGGAACAGCATCTGCAAGGACCCCGAGGCAGACAAGAGCTGGTCTCACGGGTGCCACGTGCCAGTGTCAGTGGAGGGGTGAGGGGTGGTGGGAGGCGGCCAGGTCCCTGCAGGGGTGGGGGGCCCAGCCTGGCCACGGGCCCAGGAGCAGCGGGGAGCCACAGTGAGTTTCCAGCGTCTGCTTGCCTTGCCGCCTGTGGACTCGAACCCCTCCCGCCGCGATGGAGGCAGGGAGGGAGGAAGAAGAAACAGCAAGACCCACCAGAGGCCGTGGTGGCCCCGAGTGAGTCGACGGGGAGGGGAGGGGGGCTCTCCGCCTGGTGGGAAGACTTCGGTCTGGTGCGCCCACTCTCCCTATTTGGGGAACCAGGGCCCCCTTCCAGCCTTCCTCCCGGGATGTCGGGTGAGCAAGGGGGTTTGCTTTGAGGGGAGGCCGAGCCGTGCCCCTGCGGCTTCTCTGCTCCAGCAGGACTCTGCCTCTGCTGCCCTCGGTGGGAACCCCCTCATTTGGGCAAACGCCATCGGGCTGCTTCCCTCCCTGCCTCGGTTTCCCTGCTCCTCACTGGGGCCTCCCGGCGTCACCTCCCAAGTAAACTTCCCACACCCCAGTCCTGGTCCCGGGTCGGCCTTTCGGGGACAGAGGTAGGACCGGGAGCGTCTGGCGTCTGCGTGGAGGGTCGCACCGGCATGAGCACCGGGGGGCTCGGGATGCTCCCCCCGCTGCACCCCGCTCCGGTCTTCCTGGCCCCCAGCGACCCGGGGGTGACTGACGTCCTCCCATAAACTATCTTTCTGATTGAACCAACCAGAGAGGCCTTTGTCACCCAAACCCGAATGGCGCAGACAGCTAGAGCGAGATTTAGGAGTGAAGGACTGGATCCCGGGGGGACCGTGAGGGTATCCAAGGAGACACCCGAGGCCACAGAATGCTCTGCGAGGCATCGATTCCAACACGCTAAGGAGTTTATTAGAAAAGGGACAAGGTGGGGGACGGGGCCTGGCTCAGCAGATGGCCCCAGCTCTCAGGACTCCGTTGGGCTCAGGCCGGCTGCGGGAGCCCGGCCCAGAGCCCAGCGAGGGGCAGGAGCAGCCGAGAGGGCTCCGGCCTGTGAGTGCTGCCGCGGGCCACCAGCATCCGGATCCAGTTGAAGTGCCTACTGACATTGGTGTAGACCCCGGGCCGGTTGGGTCTACCGCAGCCCGATCCCCAGCTCACGATGCCAACCTGAATCCACACACCTCTCTTTTCACAGGCCAAGGGCCCACCGGAGTCACCCTGGGGAGCGGCGCGGGTGAGCCAGGCCTGGCGGCGAGTGGGCGGGGGGCTCCCAAGGGCCAGTGGAGACGGGAGGGACAGCAGGAGGGGCTGTGGAGCCGGGCAGACCGGGTGCACATCCTACCCCCCACCCCGGAAGTAAACAAGCCTCAGTTTCTGCATCTGTGAAGTGGGGCACTGGTCTGTACCCACTGGGATTGACACACGGACCAAATGAGGCGCGGGCCGCCCTCGGGCTTGGGGCTGGGGTGGAGAGGGACACTCACGAAGCAGGAATCCTTGCCTCCTTGGGAATCGCCAGCGCACACCATGTCCCCCCAGATGTCGTAGCGGACCAGGGGCTGTGTGTACAGGTAGTTACACATGGTGGTGTTGATGATGCCGACCTGTACTTCCTGGAGGAGGTAGGGGGCTGGCAGCACTGCCCAGGGGCCGAGGGGACAAAGAAAGACGGCACCCTGAGCCTCTCTTCTGCCATCTGCTTGGGAGAGATGGCACAGGCCACGGGGGAGGGGGGAGGGACGAGGGTCCCTGGGGCCAGCAGCACCCGGCACGTCGTGGGGGACGGACCCGCTGCCGCAGCTCATCGCCGAGGCCCGGCTTCCCTGCGGGCGCGTGCGGATGGCAAGCGGCCCCCGAGCCGGTGGGGAGGGGCCGACACAGGTGACCAGGGTTACGGTCACTGTGGTCCAGCTGCCCGTCAGGTGCTTCCAGGCCTTTCTTGGGGCCCCCGTGGCCCTCCGAGGGCGCGGCCTGATGGGGACCCACTCTCAGGTAAGGAAAGACTCGGCGGGGAGGGCTGCCCCTCCCACCCCCAGCAAAGCGCCAGGGAGGCGTCAGAGCCCGTCGTGAACCCAAATCTGTCCAATTCCGAGCCACCGGCTGACCCGTCCGAGGACGTCACGACGATACCACGGTTAACGTGTAGGTGGAGCCTCTGGTCCGCCAGGGACTCTGCTGAGCCCTCAGGTAGGAACCTCTTTAAATTTCAGAACCACGCTCTGTGCTGGGAACCGTTTCACCTTGTTCTGCAGATGAGGAGGCCCAGGCACAGGGGGAGGAGATGCCTGGCCTGGGGTCTCCCAACCGGAAGGAGGGAGAGCTAAGCCTCCCAGCAGGCAAGGGGGGTGGCAGCCAGAGTCACCTGCTACCTCCTAGTACGAGTCGGGAGCCTGGGGCCGGCCCTGACTACCTGTCAGCCTCGGGCCAGGGAGTCTGGTGGCTGGGTCCCTTGGTTCACACCCACTCAGCCCTTTGGGCCGGGAGGGATCTGCAGGGGGAGCAGGGGGACACTCTCTCCAGTCCCTTGTAAGGAAGGGACAGGACCCCAACTCTAAAGGAAGGCAGGACCAGCGCAGGTTTCTCTCTCCGCCCTGCCAATCCCCGATGTGTGACCTCGAGGACACGTTGTTCTCTCGGTCAGTGAGCCCCGGCTTCTCCACTGACTCCTTCTGGGACCTTACGGCCACTTCTGTAAGTCTCTCCCTTTCCTCATTGATAAAGCAGGTATGAAAATGGCCCTGCCTCATTCGCAGGTAAGGCCCAGAAGAGAGACCTCACCCTGCTCGGTCCTCAGGGTCCAGAGCCTAGAACAGTGCCGGCACGAGGCACGCCCTCGAGGAACCTTCTCTGCCATCACTGCTGAGGGAGGGGTGCTGCCGGAAGGGGCCAGGCCAGGGAGGAGCATAGGGGGCCGCCCAGGCATAGGAGCCAGGCCCTGTGTGTGGCGCTCAGGACCCAGGGCACCTCGGGGCAGAGGTGCACGGGTGACGCTTCAGGCTGGCCCAAGGACCGCCCCCCACAGATTTAGTGGGGAGTCAGAGAAAGGAGATGCTTTGACATTGCAAAGACAGACAACGGGCTCAGGACTCCAGGCAAGGAGACAGGGTGGCAAGGCAGGTAGGTGCAGAAGGTATGGAAAAGCCAAAGCGGGGAGGCGGGACGGCTGGGGGCTGGGTGAGCACCCGTGCTGAGCGGAAAGAACGCACACAAAACCACTGAGGCCTTTCTAACGCGACCTCCGCCAACCCCGACGCCCTTGCAGGCTGGGTGCGGAGCGCGGGCCTGGGCCCAGCTGGCCTCCCTCTCACTGTGGCTTCGGGCTCACAGTCTCTGGAAGGCAGAGGGAACGGGGTGTGGGGACAGGAGGTCCTGCCCTGGCGGGGGGGGGGGGGGGCAGGCACTGCTGGGCAGCCCCCAGGAGGGACCCAGCTGCACAGAGACCCAGGTGGGGGCTGCTGAAGCCGCTGTGGACGGAACAGACGGCGGAGCCCGCAGCCCCCCCCCGCCCCACCCCCCACCTGCCCCCAGCCTCACCTTGATCTTCTCCGATGTGCCCCCAGCCCGTCACCCAGCAGTCAGTCTGGTTCTGGAACTCCGAGGAAGAGGCCGCAACACAGACGGGGTGGATGTACTTATTGTAGGTGACGGAGGAGGACAGCTTCAGCAGGGCGATGTCAGAGGATGAAGCCCCCAGATACATGGGGTTCAAAATGATCTCCTCCACCTGGTACCGGTTGTAGTAGGCCTCCAGATTCCAGATAGACGGTGAGGCAGACAGCTCGCCAAACTGCACGGACCACTCAAAGGGATCAGTGTGCCTGGCAGGGAGGAGCGGGCGGTCAGGGGTCTTTACAGGAGGGAGGGGCCCTGAGCCCACCTGAGGTCTTAGGGACTGGGGGCAGCAGCGTGCCTCCGCCTGAGGTGTGGTCACCTCAGCCAGGGGGCCGCCTCCCACAGCCGTCCTAAAAAGGAATGAATCGATGCACGGGACCAGACACTTCCCCTCACCACTGTTGCCGCAGGCCAGGCTCTGTGCCCAGAGCTCGCCCACCTCGGTCCGCCCGGTCCGCCCGTGGTGCACCTGCACCGGGGGAGGTGGGATGAGGAGGGGGCGGCTGGTGCTGCCATCCGGGGAGAAGAGAAGACAGAAAAGAACACGACACAAAAGGGCACGGGAATGCTGTAAAGAACGTTCTGGAAAAAACGGAACCGGGTTTTCTCACGTGGCTGCAGCGGGGCCCGGGGCTCGGGAGCATAAGAGAGCTGAATCCGCACGCGTCAGGCCCGGAGGACGCGTCCCCCCAACCCCGATTCGGAGGGCCGCCCGCCCCCAGACTCACTTTTCAAAGCAGTGCGCGGCCGACAGCACCCAGCGGCGGTTGAGCAGGCTGGCGCCGCAGTGGTGGGCGCCCCACAAGCGCAGACTGCCCTGCCACGGCCAGCGCCCCAGCTCCGAGTCCTTGCCGCCCACCACGCGCGTCGTCGAAACGGTTCGGCGGCCGCAGGGCCCTGGGACGGACACACGGGCACGCGGCTGAGCCGCACGACCCCGGCCGCCCCACCGGCCCGTGCGAACCAACGCGAGGGGCCCCTGGGAAAACGCGCGCGTCGGGGCCGCGCCGCCCAGGGACCGGGGGACCTCGCGCCCCTCCCCACGTGGCGCGCGGGCGCCGCCCCTCCATCCCCTCCACCCCCCCGGGGCCCGGCAGTTACACGTGAGCAACGACGAATTCTCGAAACCTGGGCGGGGAGAGGAAAAGATGAGGCGCCCCTTGCGCTCCGGCTCAGGTGCCCTGCGCGGGGAGGCGCGCGTCCCGGGCGCCTTACCTGGAAACAGCTGGTCCAGATCCTCAACGTCTGGGGGGCCCGGAGGGGGGATGGCGGGCGGCCAGGTGAGCTCCCCGCGGTCTGCACGCGCCCCGGCCGTCCCCCACCACCCCTGGGGCGGCCCGCAGCCCCCGCCTCAGCTCACCCTGTCCCCGGAGCCCCGCTCGCACCAACAGCTGCGCCAGCAGCAGCGCCCGGACGCGCGCGCCCATGGCCGCCTCTGCCGCCTCGCGGCGCCCCCTCTGCTTCCGCCCGCTCGGGGCGCCTAACCCCGAGGGGGGGGGGCAGGGAACGCCCGCGACGCTGCCCCCCCCCCCGCCCGCAGCGGGACCGGTCCGGGTCCGAGGGCTTCGAGCTGGGTACCCCAACCACACCGTGCCCCCAAACGGTTCCCCTCTGTGGCCCTTGGCACCACAGCACTTGTAACTGGCCAATCTCCTGTGAGCTCCCTGCGGTTGGGGCCAAATGTGGCACAGGGCCCGAGTCACAGGGCCGGCGACTGCCTTCTGGTGCCTGACAGGGACCCCAGGCAGTCCCTTGTCCACTGCACCCCGAGGGACGGCTGCGGCCCCAGGTCTTGCCAAAACCATCCCGGCTCTCCCAGTGCGCGACAGCCCCGCCCCTCGCCGGTCCCCTCCCCTAGTGAACCCCGGGCTGGCTCCAGCCTGGGGTCGCCTCTCCCTGCAGACTCCTGTCCCAGGTCCCAGAGAGTTGCACGGCAGGCTCCGTCACGGTGGGACTCGGTGCTGACGTCCCCCCTCAGCGAAGCTTCTCTGCTGGCTTCCCGTCTACAGCGAGCTTGCTGCCTCCTCCCCCTCGGAGGGCTGTTTCACTACAAGCCGCACTTCCTTCCCAGCCGTTTGAAGCATCCACGGCCATCTGGTTGGTCGCGTGTGCATCTGCCCATTGGCTGCGTCCCGGGCCCATGAGGGGCAGTCTTGGTGTCTGTGGAACCTAAGGGGTGAGCCCGTGGCTCTGGTTTGGATGCCGGATGCTACTGGGGATCCAGCTCGGGCTCCGTTCCCCCAGGGCCGGCTGCCAGGCGGGAGGCCCGCTCTTCTGCCTGGGGCTCGGGGCTCGGGGCTCGGGGCCATCCTTGGCCACAGGCCCCCCACGCCACCCAGCTGTGGCCATCCCGGCTGGGCCCCGGGGCTGGGGCTGGGAGTACCTCCCTGGCTCTCTGGCCATCAGGAGACAACCCTGACGGAGACATACAGGCCCTGTGCGTCCAGAGAAGGCTCCAGAGGGGGCTGCGGGGCTCAGTGGAGCAAGGACAGGGGATGCTGCGGAGGAAGCCCTGGAGGGGCGGGGTGGGGGGGGCAGAGGGGGAAGGGTTCTCAGCATGCTGCCTGGGGGGAGGGAGCCCCTGCCGGAGGTGACCCCTCGGCTGCCCGTGGGCCGGGGTGGGGACGCCCGGGACGGAGGCTGAGGGTCCCGTTGAAAGGGGCCCAGCCTGCGCTCGTCTCCTCCCATGCCCTGCCCTGGTCGTAAACTGCAGGGGCGTCCAGTCACTCGCACCCCGGCCTCAGGTCCCAGCCCTGTGTCGCCTCCTCCAGCTGCCGGCTCACACGTGGCCCCTGGAGAGACAGGCTGGGGAAGGAGGGCGAGAGCCGGGCAGAGAGCTCAGCCTGGCTCTGATGTTCGTACTTGGGGTGATGTGGATGCACCCCCAGCCCTGCCATGACCCCGCTGTGCCTGGGGACGGCGCTGCTAGAGCGAGCGGGCTTGGGCAAGCCCTGGAGCTTGAAGTCCTCGGTTTCCCTGTCTGAGGAAAGTGGGAACATTAGTAACGCGGACCTCTGAGGCCTGCCGTGAGCTTGTGGTGACACCCTGGGGGTAAAGCTCCCACAAACAGGAAGTGCATTAAAATACGCCCTTCTGGGGCCCCCGAGGCACGAGGCACGGGGCGGGTCACCCATCCTTCTACCGGCTTGTCTTTATTGCCTCTCACATCCACAGGCCTGCAAAGGCACCAACCCAGCACGGGGGGGGGGACTGCGAACCCCAGTTCCGAGAGCCCCAGAGACCCACCATAGGAGCCCCCGGGCGTGGGTGCACCCTGGGACTCAGATGTGACTGGTGGGTGAGGAGTGGGGAGACCGGGCTCTGTCCCCAGGGGCTCACAGGCTGGCAGGGCGGGCAAGGGAAGCTCGAAGCCCATGGGGGATGCTCGAAAGGTGGGGCCGGGCCATGGGCCGCGGGGTCTGAAGTCGGGGAGATGTGGGTAGGGGGTGGCTTCCTGAGGGACAGAGGCCAGAGAGGGTCCCTGAGGACAGAGGGTGGGTGGCCGGTCAGGCGAGGCCCAGGGAGACGAGCGTGTCCCCCAGCAGATACAGAACCAGCAACATGGCAGGGAAGAAGAGCCCTGCAGAGATCGGAGAGAAGTTTCTGGCGTCCGGTGCTGAGCCCTGGATGGTGTTGACAATCCACGCGGTGTAGATGCTGACGTTGATGTACACCCCCGGCCTTTTCGGGAGGGCGCAGTCATGTCCCCAGCTCACTACGCCTGCCTGGGTCCAGACTCCACCAATGTCGCAGACCAGAGGCCCTCCGGAGTCACCCTAGAGAGGAAGAGGAGTCCAGAAGGGTAGGGCCGGAGGGGCTGGGCTGCTCCCGGGAGGAAGTTCCCAGGGGCCTCCCCAGGCCCACCAACCTCCCTTCCACACTGCCGGCTAGGTCTAGTGCACGGAGGGTCGGTGGGCTGGGTGTTTCTGGAAGGCAGCAGAGGTCTGGGAATTAGGGGTCAAACCCCTGGCGGATGGAACGCCATATTCTCTAAAGAAAACCGCATTTCAGAGAAGGGGCTCTGAGGAGCACTTCTGTGCCGCTAACAAAGTTGCTTGGTTTTTGACGAAAAAGTCTGTGATCATACTAAGGGGGCACGTGAGATAAAGTGTGTTTTGCTTATAAAAGCAGACAAGGAGGGGGCGCCTGGGTGGCTGCAGTCGGTGAAGCGTCCGACTCTGGCTCAGGTCACGATCTGGCAGTTTGTGAGTTCTAGCCCCGCGTGGGGCTCTGTGCTGACAGCTCAGAGCCCGGATTCTGTGTCCCCCTCTCTCTCTGCCCTCCCCGACTTGTGCTCGTGCTCTCTCTCTCTCTCAAAATAAATAAACAGTAAAAAAAAAAAAAAAATTAATAAAAAAAAGCGGACAAGGAAAGACCAAAGCAACCCAGACCAGAAGCGATGTTGCCCCTGAGGACAAGTTGCTCAAAGGCCCCCGAGTGTTATTTTTTTTGGAGAGGAAAAAGACATTTCTGGCCCAAAAAGAAAAGGCTTTAGGGAGAGAAAATACAGTCACGATTTGTTTAAGCGTGTTTGCAAGTATTTCACGTTCTGATAATATTGGTGGGATATTTAAAGCGAGACCCGGCCCAGGAACATTTTTTTTTTTTTTCCTTTTCAAATCGCCCTCGGTATGTATGTATTTGAGAGAGAGAGAACGAGCAGGAAAAGGGGAGGAGCGGGGGGCGGGGGGGGGAGGAGAGAGAGAGAGAGGGAGAGGTAGAATCCCAAGCAGGTTCCACGATGTCAGCGCAGAGCCCGATGCGGGGCTCGATCCCACGACTCTGGGATCATGACCTGAGCCGAAATCAAGAGTCGGACTCTCGACCCACTGAGCCCCCCGGGCGCCCGACCCTGGTATTTCAAACGACGTTGCCCTCCTCCGCCCTGGGAGTCCTCAGGGGTGATGGGGAGTGGGAGACCCCGGCCCCCGCAGGGGGGTGGCTTGCTCACCCCGCAGGCGTCCTTCTGTCCACTCTCGAAGCCGGCACAGAGCATGTCCTGGAGGATGACGGGCCCCGGGCTGACGGTGCCGGAATTCTCCAGATAGTAGCGGTTACAAGTCTGGGTGTCAATGAGGGGCAGGTACAGCTCCTGCAGGGTGAAGGGTGGAGGGAGCGCTGCGGGGGGGGGGTGGAGAGCAGAGCAGAGCTCAGAAGGGAGGTGACCGCCTCCTGGCTCTCAGCCACTGCTTGTCATTTCTGCCTGTCACTCTTCTGCTTCTCGAGGAGCGGGGACCTGCGTTTGTGTCCGGGAAAGCCTGGCAGGAAGAGCCGCTGCCCCCCTCCGTCTGGCAGCGCATGTCAGGGGTGTGGAGCCCTCCCCGGCGGCGTTGGCCTCCCTCCCCGGGCCCGGGGAGCGGGGTAAGCTGGACGCACTGTGGGGTGCAGGGCAAGAGCCGAGACCCTGGCCAGAGAGTGTGGTCAAGGCGCTTCCACCAAATGAGCCTTCTCTTCTTGGCCCCCTAACGCTCAGGTCAAAAGCAGGTTGAGCGTGGCCTCTGAAAAATTTATGTCTGGGGCGCCTGGGGGGCTCAGCAGGTCGAGCGCCCGACTCGACCTCGCGTCAGGTCACGATCTCGTGGGGACGGTGCGGAGCCTGCTTGGGATGCTCTCTCTCTCTCTCTCTCTCTCTCTCTCTCTCTCTGCCTCTCCCCCACTTAGGCGCACTCTTCTGCTCTGTCTCTCGATACGTAAATAAACAAAATTCGTGTCTGCGCAGCACCTCAGAAGGTGACCTTCTGCGGAAATAAGGGCTTTGCAGATCGACCAGTTGAGGTGAAGTCACGCGGGATCAAGGTGAGACAGAAAAGAAGAGCCCACAGAGCAGAGGCCGTGGGAAGGTGGAGGCGGGTCCCCGGGGGATGTGGCCATGAGCCAAGGAACCCCAAGCATGTCCCGGAACCACCAGAAGCTGGAAGGAGCGGGAAGGCTCCTTCCCTGGAGCCTTCAGAGGAAGCCCGGCCCTGCCAGCATCTTGACGTCAGACCGTGGCCTCCTGAACTGTGAGAGAACAACATTTCTGTTGTTTTAAGCGCCCCCCCCCCCCGCCCCGGTTTGTGGTAGTCTGTTATGGCGGCCAAGGACAAGGTGACGTTACAGCATGGCGCTGACGGTGGTGATGGCTGCTGGCCCGCCGCGTATCGAGAATTCACTCTTGCCCGGCCCTGCCGGGAGCTCCCGAAATGCATCACTCCGTGTGACCCTCACGTTAACCCCGCGAGGTTAGCCCTGGAAGCTCTACTTGTCCAAGGGGGGGGGGAAGCCACAGCCCAGCGGGGCTGGTGGAGGTCACCCAGCCAGGACTGAGGCCAGGCGAGCAGGCCCTGGGTCTCAAGCCACTAGGGCAGGGGTCGTGCGTAAATTCTGCAGACACATAAGGGGCACCGGCACTGGGCAGTCAGAATGTTCCGGGCCCCAGCCTGGCCAGCATTCCGGAGCTCCGCCGGGGCCTGGCGTCAGTCCTTTGGTTACGGTGTGCTGGGAGGGCAGACCGGGGAGCCTGACGGAGGGTCCGGGGCGGCAGGCTGCTCATTCATGGCAGCATTTCAGTGGCTCCCCTCTGCCGTGTGCAGGCTCCACGTTCATCCTGTATGAGTGTGGTGGCGGGTGCGGCCAGCCCTGGGGAGGCGGGAGGCCCTAGGCCCCGTCAGCATTGGTCCCCACCCAACACCTGCCACACGCTCGGGGTGTCCTTACGTAGATTTGTGGCGACGTTCCCCCAGCCGGTGACCCAACACCAGGTGCCGTGACCCAGAGAGTCTCCGGGTTTGGGGAGGCAGACTGGAAGGATGAGGTCAGTGAAGGTGACAGGTGTGGCCAGCCGCACGAGGGCCACGTCGGCTCTGTTGTTCTCTTCCCAGTACTCGGGATGCTTGATGAACTGGGCCACCGCGCGGAGCTCCTGGGGCTCCCCGGCCTGGGGGTAGGAGGAGATGGAACCCAGCAGCACGAAGTAGGCGGACAGGGGCTGCTTCCTGGAGATGGGAGAGTTGGGGTGGGGGGTGGGGGGGGGTGAGGGCTGTGCCAGGGTCCCACGGGCGGGGACCGGGGACGATCTTGATTTGAGGGTCCTGATGCTACAGATAGACGGCTTTGCGAGCTGTGCGGGTGCCAGAAATGAGAAGTGCCCCGCCCAGTCCTGGGACCACCCCTGCCGGACAACCACGCCCCCCTCTGGCGACTGTACCCCAGGCCCAGGAGGTGGTCACCTGCCCAAATGCTGCCCAGCTGGTGAGCGGTGCACTTGAGGCCTTGGCCTCTCAAGGGATGTTTCCGCGTGGGGGCCTTTGGTTTCTGGGAAGCGAATCATTTCTTGGCGGGTGGACGATGGGAGGGCCGGACGGTCTGTCTCCTCCTCCCTCCCCCCCCACCCCCGCCAGTGCCCAGCCTTGAGGACAGGGACCATCCTGGGTGGATAAGTGACGACCCTCCTCCGCCTGTCTCCAGATGGGCAGAAGGCTGTGGTTCACACGGAGAAGGGAGGGGGAAGGGCAGGTCCCGGCCCCCCCGGCACACGCCTGTGCCCCCCCAAAGATACTCACTGGTCGAAGCAGTGGGCTGCAGTCAGCACCCAGGCCTCGGTGATCAGGGAGCCCCCGCACACGTGCTGTCCGTGCTCCCTCAGGCTGACCTGCCACGGCCACTGGCCTGGCTGGGCATTCTGCCCTGACACGATGCGGCCTGACACGTGTGGGCGTCCGCACACTGCGGGGTGAGTCCACGGGCCACTTATGCGTGGTCCCCTCTGGGCTCCCCTGGCCCTGCAGCCCCGCCCTCATGTATCCCTGCTGCTCGGGGGTTGGCACCCGGTCCCTTCTCCTCAGGCCCCACGAGGTGCAATTCTTTGTGACGTAGGACCCCGTGCTCCAGGGGAGGACTCGGGGCGGTGCCCCGCAGCTGAGCTGGGGGAAGCGGGAGCTGGAGCCCTAAATGGCTTAGCCACGCTCGGCTCCTCCTGGGACAGCCCGAACGCGGCTCGGTGCGGGTGGACGCTGAGGTCTGGGGTGGCTGAATGAGGGTCCCCTCCCCCTCCCCGCGTCCGGGCTCCTTGGAGGACCCGCCCCGCGCAGGCTATAAGGCGCAGGGCGGGGATCACACATCGGCTGCACCTGCCCCTCCTCTCGGCACCCCGATATTCGTCCTACCTGAATCCAGGCCGGTCGCGCTGGCGTTCACCAGGGAGAAGTTGGTTGGGAGAGCAGGGGGGCTCCCCTGCAGAGCCACGGAGAGGAGGGAGAGCAGGCTGGCGGCGAGGGCCGGCGACATGGTATGTCCCAGCCACCACTTCCGCGGCTGGCTCTTGGGGTCAGAGTCCTCAGACACTGGGGGGGGGGGGGGGGGGGGAGGAGATGGCCGCAGCCAAGCCCAGGTTCTGGGCTTGTCCTGGGGTGTGGCTGACTCCTCCGCGCCTTGCCCTTGGGGCTCGGCTCTGCACTGCTCCTGGGCACAGGGTCCTTGGCCTCCGCTCCCCCACCCTGGCCTCACTGGCCTCGCGGCACCAACCACGCCACCACTTACGGGGCACTTCCTGGGTGCGGGCCTGTATCACCCGTGTCATATTCCTCCCGACTCATTCGCCAGGCGCTCTTATGATCCCCCTATGCGGCAGAGGAAGCGGGACTCCCGTGGTGTAATGAGTCACCGGAGGCCGTACAGGTGACAAAACCACATACCTCTGTGCTCTGTGCTGGGGCGTCTCGTAAGTACCCTGAGAAGGGGAGGGCGGGGGAGAGGAACCGCAGACCCGAGGTCACACCCCAGTCTGCCCCCTCGGGCTTCGTGTTCACCCCGGGACTCGGAAGGGCCCGAGGTGGGGCCAGGATGCCTGCAGAGTGAGAGGGGCCCGTGATCCACGGGGGTAGAGCAGCGAGGAGACGCCCCTGGTATCTCTCCCTGACCGCAAACAGCAAGCGCCTGGATGGCCGCTGCGCTCCCCTCGCCTCACCTCTGTAAAGCCCCGTGGGTGGCCGTGGCCGAGAAAGCAGAGCTGACCAGCCTAGGGCGCCGGGCAGGGAGGGATGCAGGACACTTTCCCTGGTGGCTAAGTTTTCTCCTTCTCTCCACAAGCAGCCGTCCTTTCTGAGGCCCCCGCGCCACCTGGCCTACGCGCACCTCCCTCTCCAGAGGGCTCATTCCCCCTGGGGGGGCTCTGAGCAGCCCCAAATACCTGATTTAGGTCAAAATCATGTTCAGTGAACGCTTTGGCATTACTGCCTTTCCCACCTACCTGATCTCTTGATTTCTGAGGGGAGAAATGTGAATTTCCTAGTATCTGGAGTATTAAGAACTTAAAAAAATTTTTTTTTTTTTTTTTTTTTTGCTTGATGTATTTCAAAGCTCTGTTATTGGGGGCATAAGGACTCGTGACTCATGTCTTTTCAGTGGCTTGTGACGTGTCCATGTAAAAATTTCTGTATTTCATTCCTTTTCCCCCCAAAGTTTATTTATGGGTTTATCAAGCCCATGAACAGTGAGATCATGACCTGAGCGGAAACCAAGAGTTGGACGTTTAACCAGCTGAGCCGCCCGGGTGCCGGCCCCCCCCCCCCCACCACCCTGTATTTCATTCTTAAGTCTTGGGTTCATTTTCATCTCGTGGGCAATTTTGTCACCAATTTTGTCACAATAAATATATATATATATTTATATTAAAAAATTGGAATTTACGTGCTAGAATACTCGTACAATAGGAAAGCACTTCTGTTAACAGTATTATCGATTTTTGTGCTTGCAAAAGAAGCTTAATATGACTCCCTGATGCCTTACGAGGATCAAGGCACATCCTGCCTGCTTGAGATTTTTTTTTTTCTTTAGTCTCGTCCCAGAAATTCCGTTTGAGAACCCCTAGATTATCAGAATTATGTAAGAGCCAGAGTAAAGCTGATTTAAGGACGTCACAAGGGGACTTATCATCATCACAATGAGTGTTGCTTAAAACCCACACCCACTCAATAACCCTTTTTGTGTTCACAGGTCACTGGTCAACTGCTGAGTGTGAGACTGAGGAGGTAAAACACACACAGCCTTGTGCTGGGGTTGGAATGTTTGTGTCCCCTCCGCCCCGCCCCCCAAGTTCATATATCAGAATCCGTATGTTGAAGCCCCAGGTGATGTGTTTAGAGGTGGGACCTTTGCAAAGCAATTAGGACCGAAGGGTGGAGCCCTCATGAGTGGGATCAGTGCCCTTATAAGGCCACGTGAGGACACAGGGCAATGGCAGCAGCTGTGAACCAGGAAGGGGCCCTTCCCAGACACCTTGACCTCAAACTTCCAGCCCAGGAACTGTGAGAAATAAATATTTGTTGTTTATGAGCCACCCACCCACTTTATGGTATTTTGTCAGCCAGCAAAGCATTTGACTCAGAAATGATGTCACATCCCTCCTCTTCTACGCCGGCTCGTCCCATTCCTCGTGTCTGCCGAGCTCGTGGTGGGAACTCGGTCTCCCCGTGGACTTACGTAAGCTAGGCCAGTTCACAGTCCCGGACAGATGCCTGGGACATCTGGTGCCAATATCAGGACACCAGTCTGCTGCCGGGGAGTCTAGAACTTGGCTTTCTCTTTGTCGTTTCTCAACCGTTGATTTTATTTTACTTAACACACTTCTTGGTTTGTATTCATTTTTTTCTGTTTTATTTCTTTTTGAGAGAGACAGAGAGCGCGCGAGCAGGGGAGGGGCAGAGAGAGAAGGAGACACGGAATCCGAAGCAGGCTCCAGGCTCCGAGCTGTCAGCACAGAGCCCGACGCGGGGCTCAAACCCACAAACCATGAGCTGAAGTCAGACGCTCAACCGACTGAGCCACCCAGGCGCCCCTTTTCCTGCCTAACTCTTGTTTAGTGTTTGTGAACACTCTCGCCAGAGCTTTCGAAGCATACCAGTTGGCGTCCTCCAAGCTGTCCACTGCTCCGTGTATTTATTCCCTCCGTTTTCCTCGAAGCCGGTCCCTGTATTCAAACAGACCGTTCTGGTGCGTGTGTGGATTTTCCTCCAATGTTGCTTTATCCTTAGTGGCCGTGCAGTGACAACAGGTTAAGTGAACAGGCCTAGGATGAACCGACCCTCGACCAGGTCCTAGGAAATCACCTCTGAGTCTTTGCAAAGTCTTGCTTGGAAAGAGCGTCTTTGTAGACCGGGAGCCTTGGGCCACTCCAGATACTTGATGCTAATAGCACAGTTGATGGGACCGCCTCGGGCCACACTGCGTCACTTGGACCACAGGAGGTGCCCTAGTCTGAGGACTAGGGTTAGCCACGTGGGCTGTCCACCCTGCCTCTGTCACGGAACCCCAAGGATAAAAACTCCAGACACCCAGGCTCACATGAGCTTCCCCGGCCGGCACCCCTTCACGTCCGTTGTCACGCGTCATTGCTGGGAGAATTAAGCTCTGCCCATCTGACTCCATTGCTAAGGGGAAGCTGGAAGCTTCCACCTGGTCTCTCCTAGACTCTGTCCTCCACACCCTGTACCACTGCAGTGAACCATCACCATGGAGATGACAGCTTCTCTAGGTCCTGTGAGTCCTTGTAGTGGATCAGTACTCTGAGGGCGGTCCTGGGGGCCCCAGTTCAGTTGTTCACTCACATCTATAACTCAAGAGACAACTTGATGACTTTGGTGCCCTGCACCAGTGCCCAAGGACGAGGCAGACTGTCTGTAGGCTCTGTGGGGCTGAGTGGGGCCAGCTGGGAGCAGCAGGGAGGCTGGGAGGCCTCCAGGTGGCCCACATCAGGCCATTTCACGCGGGCTCCTGGAAAGAACCGTGGCTTTTAGCAGCAGCCCAATACCGCCAGGCCCCCAGCGGGCGCTCGGTGAGGACTTGCTCTCACGGGGGTCCTGGTGGGGACTGGCCTTGGCCCTTCCCCGAAGAAGCGCTGGGTGGAGGAAGGGGGGCAACGAGCCGGGCAGCCGGAATCCCAGGGCTGCAGACAAGAACCGTTTGGGGGCACGGTGTGGTTGGGGTACCCAGCTCGAAGCCCTCGGACCCGGACCGGTCCCGCTGCGGGCGGGGGGTGGGGCAGCGTCGCGGGCGTTCCCTGCCCCCCCCCCCCGGGGGCGCCCCGAGCGGGCGGAAACAGAGGGGGCGCCGCGAGGCGGCAGAGGCGGCCATGGGCGCGCGCGTCCGGGCGCTGCTGCTGGCGCAGCTGTTGGTGCGAGCGGGGCTCCGGGGACAGGGTGAGCTGAGGCGGGGGCTGCGGGCCGCCCCAGGGGTGGTGGGGGACGGCCGGGGCGCGTGCAGACCGCGGGGAGCTCACCTGGCCGCCCGCCATCCCCCCTCCGGGCCCCCCAGACGTTGAGGATCTGGACCAGCTGTTTCCAGGTAAGGCGCCCGGGACGCGCGCCTCCCCGCGCAGGGCACCTGAGCCGGAGCGCAAGGGGCGCCTCATCTTTTCCTCTCCCCGCCCAGGTTTCGAGAACTCGTCGTTGCTCACGTGTAACTGCCGGGCCCCGGGGGGGGGGGGGGGGGGGGGGGGCGGGGCGGCGCCCGCGCGCCACGTGGGGAGGGGCGCGAGGTCCCCCGGTCCCTGGGCGGCGCGGCCCCGACGCGCGCGTTTTCCCAGGGGCCCCTCGCGTTGGTTCGCACGGGCCGGTGGGGCGGCCGGGGTCGTGCGGCTCAGCCGCGTGCCCGTGTGTCCGTCCCAGGGCCCTGCGGCCGCCGAACCGTTTGGACGACGCGCGTGGTGGGCGGCAAGGACTCGGAGCTGGGGCGCTGGCCGTGGCAGGGCAGTCTGCGCTTGTGGGGCGCCCACCACTGCGGCGCCAGCCTGCTCAACCGCCGCTGGGTGCTGTCGGCCGCGCACTGCTTTGAAAAGTGAGTCTGGGGGCGGGCGGCCCTCCGAATCGGGGTTGGGGGGACGCGTCCTCCGGGCATGACGCGTGCGGATTCAGCTCTCTTATGCTCCCGAGCCCCGGGCCCCGCTGCAGCCACGTGAGAAAACCCGGTTCCGTTTTTTCCAGAACGTTCTTTACAGCATTCCCGTGCCCTTTTGTGCCGTGTTCTTTTCTGTCTTCTCTTCTCCCCGGATGGCAGCACCAGCCGCCCCCTCCTCATCCCACCTCCCCCGGTGCAGGTGCACCACGGGGCGGACCGAGGTGGGCGAGCTCTGGACACAGAGCCTGGCCTGCCAGGACCGTGGGCTCGGGGAAGCTATTTTGACCGCACCTGCCTAGTCCTGTGCATCTGTTCTTTTTTTTTTAAGTTTTAGAGAGAGCGAGAGCGCGCACAAGCACAATGGGGGGAGGAACAGAGAGAGGGAGAGAGAGAGAATCCCAAGCAGGCTCCAAGTTGAGTCTGCCCGATGCGGGCCTCAAACCCACAAACCTTGAGATTGTGACCTGAGCCGAAATCAAGAGCTGGACACTCAGGCTGAGCCACCAGGGTGCCCTGTTCATTGTTTTTTAGGATTGCTGTGGGAGGTGACAGGCCGGTTGAGTGACCAGCCAGATCCGACCTCGGGGAAAGGCCCTTCCTGCCCATCCCCGCATTCCCCGGTCCCCGGGTTCTGGGATTTTGGCCCATCTTCTCTGGGCTGCCATCATTTCTACACTGGGCGCAGTGGCCCATGAGAGGAAGTGCTAACCGTGTCCAGGATGAGCCCTAGCAGCACCCCTGCGGCCCCGCCTCAGGGAATGTCTCCCCTCCCCCTTGCGTGCTCAGGGGGCCCTCCCTCCTCTGAGGACCCTTACCTGCTCTCTCCTCCCTCGCCAGACACAAAGATCCCTCGAAGTGGACTGCTCAGTTTGGTGAGCTGTCCTCCAGGCCAACATCCTGGAAACTGTGGACCTTCTACCATCGGTACAGGGTGAAGGATATCGTCGTGTATCCCCAGTTCAGTGGGACTTCACTCAAGGACATCGCCCTGCTGAAGCTGTCCTCCTCCGTCACCTACAATAAGTACATCCAGCCCATCTGTGTTGTGGCCTCTTCCTCTGAGTTCCAGAACAACGCTGACTGCTGGGTGACTGGCTGGGGGCACATCGAAGAAGGTCAGGGTGAGGCTGGGGGCAGGTGGGGGGTGGGGCGGGGGGGGCTGCGGGCTCCGCCGTCTGTTCCGTCCACAGCGGCTTCAGCAGCCCCCACCTGGGTCTCTGTGCAGCTGGGTCCCTCCTGGGGGCTGCCCAGCAGTGCCTGCCCCCCCCCCCCCCCCCGCCAGGGCAGGACCTCCTGTCCCCACACCCCGTTCCCTCTGCCTTCCAGAGATTGTGAGCCCGAAGCCACAGTGAGAGGGAGGCCAGCTGGGCCCAGGCTGCTTTCTGTCTCGGGATTTCCGGACTGTGGACATTTCATAGAAATAGAGTCCCACAGCGTGTGGTTTTCTGTCCCTGACTCCTTCACTCAGCATATTCAAGGTTCGTGTGTGGTCTAACACGTACCTGTACCCCGTTCTTTGAGGTTTAGTTCACGTAATGTTAAATTAATCATTTTATTCCTTTTTTAAAAAAGTTTTTACAGTTTTATTTATTTTGAGAGAGAGCAAGCGAGTGAGAGCATGAGCGGGGGAGAGACATAGGGAGAGAGCCCCCCAAGAAGGCTCCACACCATCAGTGTCGAGCCGAATGTGGGGCTCGAACCCACGACCACGAGATTGTGACCCAAGCCAAAATCAGGAGTTGGACACGTAACTGACTGAGCTGCCTAGGTGCCCCTAAATTAATCATTTTATTATTTTTTTAAATTAATCATTTTCAAGTATACAATCCCGTGACATTTAAGTTAGTATGTTCACGGTGTATAACCGTGAACTCCATCAAGTTCCAAAACATTTTCATCCCTCCCAGAGGAAATCCGACAGTCACTGACCAGTCACTCCCCCTTACCCTCTCCTTCCAGCCCTTTGGCAGCCACTAAGAAGCCTTTTGTGTTGATGGATATACCCATTCTGGATTTTTCAGGTAAATGGATTCATACGTTATGTGACCTTCTGTGTTTGGCCTTTTTCATGTAGCGTGGTGCTTTAGAGATTCATGGGTGTTCTAGTATGTATCAGAGTTTTCTTTTTATGGATGAATAATAGTTCATCCTATGGATAGACCACAATGTATTCATCCATTCTTCCATTGATGGGCTTTTGTGTTGTTTCTGCCTTTTGGATACGGTGAATAGAGCTGTTATGAACATTCATATACAAATTTTTATTTGAACACCTCTTTTCAGTTCTTTTGTGTATATATCTAGGAGTGCAATTGCAGAATCACGTGGTAATTCTATGTTTAACGTTTTTTAAAATTTATTTTCAGAGAGAGAGCAATTGGAAGGGCAGAGAGGGAGAGAGAGAATCCTAAGCAGGCTCTGCACTGTTCGCACAGAGCCCGATGCAGGGCTCAATCTCATGAACCGTGAGATCATGACCTGAGCTGAAATCAAAAGTCGCACACTTAACCGACTCAGCCACTCAGGCGCCCCTGCCCATTTTTAATTTGAGTTGTCTTTGTTGTTGAGTTGTAATAGTTCTTTATGTATTCTAGATACTAAACCCTCATCAGATGCACGATTTGCAAATATCTTCTCCCATTGTGTGGCTCTCTTTGCTGCACTTTCTTGCTAGTATCTTTTGATGCACAAAATTTGCAAAATTTTGATCAACCTCAAATTATTTTTCTTTCGTTGCTTGTGCTTTTGATGTCAGGTCTAAGAAACCACTGTCAGATTCCAGATCATGAAGATTTACTTGCATGTTCTTGCAGAGTTTTATAGTTTTAGCTCTTATATTTATGTGTCATCCATTTTGAGTTGATTTTTGTACATGGTGTGAGGTAGGGGTCCAACTTCATTATTTTGCCTTTAGATATCCAGTTGCTCCAGCACCGTCTGTCACAGAGACTCCTCTCCCCAATTGAATTGTCTCAGCATCCTTACTGATTGACTGTAGATGTGTGGGCTTATTTCTAGACTCTGAATGGTACTCCATTGGTGTGTATGTTCATCCTTGTAGCAGGACCTCATTGTCTGATACCTGTAACTTTATAATATATTGAAATCAGGAAGTGTGAGTCTTCTAACTTTGTTCTACTTGTTCAGTAGTGTTTTAGTTATTTGGGCCTGTTGATACTCCATATAAATTTTAGGGCCAATTTGTCAATTTCTGCTAAAAAGAGCATTGGGGTTTGGAAAGGGATTGCATTGAATTTGTAGGTTGCTTTGGGGAAGCATTGCCACCTTCATTATATTGTATCTCCAATCCATAAATAAGGGATATATTTCCATGTATTCAGGTCTTCCGTTTCTTTCAACAGTGTTTTGTAGTTTTTGTTAAGAAGTCTTTGATCGCCTCAATTAAATTTATCCCTAACTATTTTCTTATTTTTGATGCGTTGTAAATGAAACTTCTTTTTTTTTAATGTTTATTTTTAAGAGCGAGAGAGAGCACAAGCAGAGGGTGGGGAGAGAGAGAGGGGGAGACACAGAGTCTGAAGCAGGTTCTGGGCTCTCAGCTGTCAGCATAGAGACCGACACGGAACTCGGACCCACGAACTGTGAGATCGTGACCTGAGCCAAAGGCCAAAGTCAGACGCTCAACCAGTGGAGCCACCCAAGTGCCCCAGTAGAATAACAGACTTTTGTGGTTTGATCTTGGGTCCTGTAATTTTGCTGACTTCATTTATTAACCCTATTCCTCTTTAAATGTATTCATTATGATTTCATGTATACACACACACACACACACACACACACGTCTATATACATATGTACGTATGTATGTAGCTATGGATGATCATGTCATGTATGCATAGAGATAGTTTTACGTCTTCTTTTCCAATTTGGATGTGTTTTATTTTTCTTGCCTAATTGCCCTGATGGGAACTTCCAGAAAAATGTTAAATAAAATGGCAAAAACTGGCATCATCATCTTGTCCCTGATCTCGGGGAAAGCTTCCCGCCTGTCCCCATTCAGTGTGATGTCCGCTGTGGGTTTTTCACATCTAGTGTTTATCGTGTTGAAAAAGTGCCTTCTATTCCTACCTAGCTTATTGAATGTTTCTCTAATGAAGGAATTTGGATTTTGTCAACTGCTTTACCAGCATCCGCTAAGAGGAGCCTGTGGGTTTTTTTCCTTCATGCTATTAATGTCTGTAGTACATTATATTGATTGGTTTTTGTATGTTGAACCGCGCTTGCATTCATGGGATAAATCTCACTTGCTCATGGTATACAGTTCTTTTGCTATGCTGCTAGGTTCCGTTTGCTAGCGTTTTGTTGAGAATGTTTGCATATATGTATTTTTTGTATATATACCTTTTGCATATATATATATACACATATTATTATTACTGTTATTGCACTAAGGATATTGGTCTGTTGTTTCTTTTTCTTGCGATGTCCTTGTCCGGGATTTGGTGCCCCCATAATGCTGGTCCCATGGAATGAGTTAGGAAGTATTCCTTCTTCTCCGATTTTTTGGAAGAGTTTAAGAAGGATTGGTGTTCATTTCTTCAGAGGTTTGGTAGAATTCACCACTGAAGCCATATGGCCTAAGGCTTTTCTTCATTGTGAGGTCCCTGACTACAGATTTCATCTCTTATTGGTGTGTTCAGACTTTCCGTTTCTTCCTGAGTGAGTTTTGGTAGTTTGTGTTATCTAAGATTTTGTCCATTTCATCCACCTGATCTAATTTGGGGTATAGCTGTTTCCCTTATAGTCCTCATTATTGCTATAAAGTCTGTAGTTATGTCCCCACTTTCATAATCAGTTTTGTTGATCTTTCAAAGAACCAAGTTTTGGTTTATCTGTTGATTTTCTCTATTTTTCTATTCCCTACCTTGATTTCCTCTATTCTCTATTATTTCTTTCTTCTACTTTTTAAAAAAATTTTTTTTAACGTTTTATTTATTTTTGAGACATGGAGAGATAGAGCATCAACAGGGGAGGGTCAGAGAGAGGGAGACACAGAATCCGAAACAGGCTCCAGGCTCTGAGCTGTCAGCCCAGAGCCCGACGCGGGGCTCGAACTCACGGACCGTGAGATCGTGACCTGAGCCGAAGTCAGCCGCTTCACCGACTGAGCCACCCAGGCGCCCCTCCTTCTACTTTTGAACTCAGCTTGCTTCTAGTCCCTTAAGCCGTAAATCAGGGTATTGGTTTGAGATTTTTCTCCTGTATTATTGTGGACATTTCCAGCAATACGTTTATTCCCTTCTGAGAACTGCCTGCACTGAATCCCGCAAGTTTTGCTGTGTCATGTGTTCATTTTCATTCGTCTCAAAGTGTTTTGAATTTTTCTTTCATCCATTGGTAAAGAATATGTTGTTGAATTTCCACATATTTACACATTTTTCAGTCTGTCTTCTTTTATGGTTTCTAACCTCAGTCCACTGTGGTTGGAGAAGATGTTTTGTATGATTTCAGTCTTTTCTAGTTTATTGCACCTTATTGTGTGGCCTGACATACCGTCTATCCTGGAGAGTGTTCATGTGTACCTGTGACGGGTGTGGATTCTACTGTTGGGGCAGGTGGTTCTGTAAACTTCTGTTAGGTCTAGTTAATTTATAGTGTTACTCAGGTCTTCTGTTTTCTTGTTGATCTTTCTGATTCTATTCATGATTTTTTTAAATGTTTATTTTAGGGAGACAGAACACAAGCAGGGGAGGAGCAGAGAGAGAGGGAGACACGGAATCTGAGGTGGACTCCAGGCTCCGAGCTGTCAACATGAAGCCCAATGTGGGGCTCGAACTCATGAAACCGTGAGATAGTGACCTGAGCCGAAGTCGAACATTCAACCGACTGAGCCACCCAAGTGCCCTTGATACTATTCATTATTAAAAGTTGGGTATTGAGGGGCACCTGGGTGGCTCAGTCGGTTGAGCGTCCGGCTTCGGCTCAGGTCACGATCTCACGGCTTGTGAGTTCGAGCCCCGCATCGGGCTCTGTGCTGACAGCTCGGAGCCTGGAGCCTGCTTCGGATTCTGTGTCTCCCTCTCTCTGCCCCTCCTCTGCTTGCTCTCTGTCTGTCTGCCTCTCTCTCTCTCTCAAGAGTAAATAATAAAACATTAAAAAAAATAATAAAATCTTTTTTGAAATTGTGTTTAGAGAAAAAGAGTGCGAGCAGGGAAAGAGGCAGAGGGAGAGAGAGGGAGAATCTTAAGCAGGCTCCACGTTCAGTGTGGAGCCCAAAGTGGGGCTCGATCCCACGACCATGGGATTGTGACCTGAGCCGAAATGAAGTCTGACACTCAACCACACAACCGACTGCACCACCCAGGGGACCCTGGATTCTCTATTTTTAATTCATGCTAATTTCTGCCTTTTAATTGCAATTTAATCCATTTAACTCATTTCCATTAAAATTAACTACCGATAAGTAAGGATTTACTTTTACCATTTTTCTATTTCTTCTCTATATCTTGTCACATCTTTCAATATCTATATCTGTACTTCATACTTTTTTATTTCCTTTTTTTGTGTTTCATTGATTTTTATTAGTGGTCTGTGTTGATTACCTTCCCATTTCGCGTTCTGTGTATTTTCTTAGTGGTTGACCTGGGGATTACGATTAACAACTTAAATTTATTGTTTAAAAATTTTTTTTAAACTTGATTTTTTTTTTTAAGTTGAGAGAGTGAGTGCGAAAGTCGGGGAGAGGGGCAGAGGGAGAGAGAGAGAGAGAGAGAGAGAGAATATGTTAAGCAGGCTTCACGTTCAACACAGAGCCTGACGTGGGACTTGATCCCACGACCCTGGGACCATGACCTGAGCCAAAGTCAACAAACGCTTCACCAACTGAGCCAGCCAGATGCCCCAACAAGTTAAGTTTATAACAATCTATGTCGGATTAATAGCAACTTAGCTTCACTTCCGTTCCTTACGCAGCTCTTTCCTCAGAGATTTAGAATTGTTGTATGCACGTGTCTTAAATTATAAAGGAAGGGAAAGAAGTGATAAACCAAAGCCATAATAGTCCTGGCTCTCCTATTTACCCCTGTGGTCACCTTTACCAGCGCCCTCTCTTCCTATGAACGGACACTGGCCAGGGTCCTGAAGACCTCCCTTCCTCCCTTTTCTGTTTCTAGTAAGGCAGGTCTGCTAGGGACGAACCTTCTTGGCGTTTGTTTATCTGAGAATCTGTTCATCGCCGCCTCATTTTCTGAAGGACAGCCTGATAGAGAATTCTGATACAGATACAGAATATTCTCGGTCGCCTGTTTGATTCTTTCGGCCCTTTGAATGTGTCATCCTGCAGCCCCCCCCCCCCACCCCCCACCCCCGCCTCCAGGGTATCTGAGAAGAACGTGGCTGTTAATCTTGGTGGGGATCTTTGATGTGACACGCATGCAGCTTCTCTCTTGCTGTCTCCCGGAGTCTCCCCTTCGATACTTTGATGAAAATGTATCTCCGGGTAGATCTCTTTGTGTTTATCCTGCTCGGGAATTGCTCAGCGTCCTCAAGACAGGGATTCATACCTTTTGTCAAATCTGGGGCATTTTCGGGGCACCCGGGTGGCTCAGTCGGTGAAGCGTCCGACTTCGGCTCAGGTCACGATCTCGCGGCCCGTGAGGTCAAGTCCCGCGTGGGGCTCTGCACTGACAGCTCAGAGCCTGGAGCCTGCTTCGGATTCTGTGTGTGTGTGTGTGTGTGTGTGTGTGTGTGTGTGTGTGTGTCTCCCTCTGCGCCTCCCCTGCTTGCGTTCTCTCTCTCTCTCTCTCTCTCTCTCTCTCTCTCTGTCTCTAAAATAAATAAACTTGGAGAAAAACTCTGGAGCGTTTTCAGCCTGGATGCTGCAGATGAAGTATGTTAATCCTCCACCATGTCGGTGTCAGCCCTGCCCCCTGAGCATGCTGTGGCTGAGGGACCTCCCCGGTGGCCCAGCTAGGGGCTGTCATCTTCGTTCTCCAGACGGGGACACTGAGTTTCAGGGAGAAGCGGTGACCGCCCGCCCATCCCTTGGGTCCTTCTGTGACCTCGTTCATCGCCCATAATGTGAAGGGTGCTGGGTTGGGGGCGGAGGCGTCATCGAGAGCGATGTCCCGGACCCTGTGGGGGCCCCGGGGAGCCCACCCCCCTCCACGCTCCCCCTGTCCCAGATGGCAGGGGAGGGGCCGAAGCGGTCCTCTTCCCCTCTCTCACCCTCAATCCCTGGCAGTTGTGCCGCCTCCTTACCGTCTCCAGGAAGCACAGGTGTCCATCATAAACAACTCCAGGTGCGACTTCCTGTTCCGACGTCCCGGTTTCCTCCGTTACGACCCGGATGACATGATTTGTGCTGGCTCTGAGAATGGCCAACGTGACGCCTGCAAAGTGAGTACGCCTGCCCCCACCAGGGCCTTGCTGGACCCGGGCACCACCCCTCCCCACCTTGGGCCTGGGAGCAACCCCCCTGGTGCCCACCAACCCACCCGAGTTTATTCATGAGAAAACAACCATGGGCCTTATTTCTCCAGCTTGTACAACAAGCATTAATTGTTTTGCCTTCATTGTATCACCTTTGATTCTCACCTGACCCCTGGGGGGGGTGGAGGGAAAGGGGCAATTTGAGACCGATGCCCACTCTGCAGATGCAGAAACTGAGGCTCGTTCGCTTCCGGGGTGGGGAGTAGGATGTGCACCCGGTCTCCCCGGCTCCACGGCCCCTCCTGCTGTCGCCACAGCTGTCCCTGCCTCTCCGCCAGCCCCTCACCTGCCCCCTGCCCCGCCAGGCCTGGTTCACCCACGCCGCTCCCCAGGGTGACTCCGGTGGCCCCTTGGCCTGTGAAAAGAGAGGTCTGTGGATTCAGGTTGGCATCGTGAGCTGGGGATCGGGCTGCGGTGGACCCAACCGGCCCGGGGTCTACACCAATGTCAGTAGGCACTTCAACTGGATCCGGATGCTGGTGGCCCGCGGCAGCACTCACAGGCCGGAGCCCTCTCGGCTGCTCCTGCCCCTCGCTGGGCTCTGGGCCGGGCTCCCGCAGCCGGCCTGAGCCCAACGGAGTCCTGAGAGCTGGGGCCATCTGCTGAGCCAGGCCCCGTCCCCCACCTTGTCCCTTTTCTAATAAACTCCTTAGCGTGTTGGAATCGATGCCTCGCAGAGCATTCTGTGGCCCCGGGTGGCTCCCTGGACACCCCCACGGTCCCCCCGGGATCCAGTCCTTCGCTCCTAAATCTCGCTCCAGCTGTCTGCGCCATTCAGGTTTGGGTGACGAACCACGGAGCCCTCTCTGGTTGGTTCAATCAGAAAGATAGTTTACGGGAGGACGTCAGTCACCCCCGGGTCGCTGGGGGCCAGGAAGACCGGAGCGGGGTGCAGCGGGGGGAGCATCCCGAGCCCCCCGGTGCTCATGCCGGTGCGACCCTCCACGCAGACGCCAGACGCTCCCGGTCCTACCTCTGTCCCCGAAAGGCCGACCCGGGACCAGGACTGGGGTGCGGGAAGTTTACTTGGGAGGTGACGCCGGGAGGCCCCAGTGAGGAGTAGGGAAACCGAGGCAGGGAGGGAAGCAGCCCGATGGCGTTTGCCCAAATGAGGGGGTTCCCGCCGAGGGCAGCGGAGGCAGAGTCCCGCTGGAGCGGAGAAGCCAGAGGAGCACGGCTCAGCATCGCCCCCTGGAGGACAAGGACACCGGGCGTGGGCTTCTCTCCAAGCTGGAGCGCCCCTGGTGAGGCCGGGTGGAGGGGGGCCGCCTCGGCCTGGCCTAGGCCCCAGGCCAGCAGGGCAGCCTCCGGGACACCTTGGAACTGCTGAGGCACATTCCTCCCCTCGGCTCCCCACCCCTGCCCCCAGCTGTGGAGAGACAAGTAGAGGAGTGGGAGGGGGGCCCTCACCGCCTCTGTCCCACCTCCAACAGCCTCGAGGTTTATAGGGCGACACGTTCAGGCTTCATGCGCTGTGGCTGGAACTCCCCTTCTCCCTCTTCACAGTGAGGAAACTGAGGCCCCGGGAGGTGGCGGGACTGAGTCACCCCCCTCGCCAGAGTTTTTGCCCGCCTCTCACTGCACACGGACCTGCCGGGCCCTACACGGAGGGGCCGGCAGATCCCTGGGTGGCGAGTCCCCGGCCGTCTCCTGGGCATGCCGTGGGGTCTCCTACAGCGTCCGTCCATTTCCACTTCTACAACCCACCCTCCGAGGAGCTGGAACCTGAGGGCGCCTCCTGTCCCCTGCTCCGAGGCCCTCCAAGCTGGCCCCAAGAGGATCACCCACCACCCTTGGTGTCCCACATGTCGCTGGAGGATGGCACTCTTCTGTGCCCTGTACCGGCTGCCCTGCAGCACCGCTCCGCGGGACCCCCTGGCAGGGCCGGGATGGCCCCTCCAGCAGCAGGTAGACTCCTTCCGCTTCCGGGGCCCGGGGCCTGCGTGAGCGGCTGCGTAGGACCACTGGCCCCCCGCCTGAGCCGTGTCGCCCACAGGGTCGCGTTTGGAGCCACCTCCCCAGAGGCTCGGAAGGATCCCCGCAGTTGCCACAGCACACCCCCTCCCCATGCCCGGCTCACCCCTACACCTCTGCCTCTCCCCAGGCTGATAAGGACAACCTCTGGTTGTTACATCAACGTGACGTGGGGACTGGCTGCGGCCACCCCAAGCAGCTTGGGATCTGCTGTGACATCAGCACGCACGCGAACCGGATCCTGAAGAGCCGGCCGCCGGCTGGTCTCCCCGGGGCCGCCCCCCGCCCCCCACCTCCTCCTCCTGCCACCAGGTACAGAGGGTAGGGCTGGACATTTGTCACACGAGTCCCGTGCTGCAGGCAGTGGGCTGGGCACTGCCACCGTGACGCGCCCGCGCAGGGCGACAGGCTGTGAAACGTATCTTCTCTTCTCCCTTGATGGACTGTGGTCTTGGGCCATCAGGAGCTGTTTATAGAGTTGTGGTTTTTTGTTTCCATCCTTGGCACTTAGAGACCTTGTAAGCAACAGAATCCCCTAGAACTAGCATGAGTGCAGGAAAGTCATGTCAGAGGCAGAAAAGGCAGTTGGGAGAAGGGCAGGGACTCCCGGACTAGGAGCTCCAACACCGCAGGGCACTCTTTCTCAGTGTGGAAGGTTCCAGGCTCTCAGGCCAGCTGAGAGTCCTCGCCTGTGACCATGGCCATGGCTGCCCCACCCTCAGGCCTCCAACGGGTCCTCTCTCTTTCCAGGGTAAAAGTCCCAGGGAGAGATTCTGGTTGGGTCCGGGTCACGTGTCACCGGGACAGTGGCCCCAGATTGGGTCGTTCGTCCTCTCCTGAGACTGGGGGCAGGTCTGTGCCAGAGAAGGTAGCGTGGACTCAGCTGTGAGTCAGGTCCCCTCCCCGGGCAAGCACATGACATTTCCCCAGGGGCCATTTTTGCCATGGGACTGAAGGGTGAGGGCTGAAGGGGACGTGGGCCCAGCAGAGGTCTGTGCCTCAGTTTCTCAGTCTGACACAAGGGTTGGGTTTGGGGGCCCTTTCCAGGGGTTCTACTGGCTATTCAACCAGTTTTGGCCCCTCCCTGCACGAGCCAGCTTCTCAGAATGAGTGTTGTCATCTGTGCCCTCCACCCCGTGCCCCTAGTTTCCAACAGGCAGGGAGCCAGGTCCCCTGCGGGACAGGCTTTCAGCCTTTCGGCCACAGCTCCCCCATCAAGTTTGGCGCCCGCCCCCAGACATGGCTGTGTGTCCCCAGGGTTCACTCTCCGAGCAGCCTCACTGTCCTGGCCACACCAAATCCAAGAGTGGACTGTGTCCCAAGGTCAAGTCGGCTTCTGCTTCTGGTCAAGCAAGAAAGAGTGCTGGCCAGCCCCGAGGCAGCCATTTCCCACTTTGAGTGCAGGGCAGAGTCTGGCTGGGGCTCCTTGTGGGCCGCTCCCGGATTTCTGGACAGAACAGTCGAGTCAGCTGCTCCCGTGACCGGCGCTGTAAGGAGCTGGGAGCTGGGATCAGGTTCACAGATGAGCGGGCAAGGATTCTCCAGAGCTTCCTGGCCTGACCACAGCTCTCCGCCCCTGGCTTTGCCCGGCCCTCAGCAAGCTGTCAGCACCGCGGCCCAAGCCGGGCGTCCTTTGACAAACCCAGGTGTCCCTTTCCTGCCACCTCACAAGCGCTGCTCAAAGCATCTTTGTTTGAGGCAGGACTGGTGAAGCCGCAGCCCCGCCCTGGCCTCCTTAATCACCCCCTGGCCAGGCCCACACACCCCCAGTCCCTTTAAGCCCCCAGGTCCTGCCCCTGCCCAGTCAGCAGGGAGGGCACCGGCCATGCAGGTAAGAGCAGAGTTCAGGGGCAGCCGGCAGCTCATGGAAATAGGTCAGGGGGCAGGGGCCAGGCTCCAGGGCTCCTGTGGAGGCCGGGGGGGCCCAAAGCCTGCAGGGGTTGGAGGACAGTCATGGTCCCTGGGGTGCGGGGACAGGGAGGTGCACAGGACCTGTGCCCCTGGGATACGTCCAGGGCCAACCAGGGGCTGAGGGAACACAGAGGGCCTCTGGGGCCTGGGGCTAGGACCCTCCTCTCCTTGCAGGCACCGCCCGGAGTCCAGACCCTGAGCGGTGTCACCCTTCCCTGGCCCAGGTCTGAAGACAGAATGAGGGGGGCCTCCCGCCTCCAGCTTTTGCCGCTGCTGTTGCTGCTAGGTGGGTGTGGGGCAGGGGCTGGGGGCTGTTCCCAGTGTCCCGTGTTACCCCTCCCCGGCCTGGTTCCCCTAGAGCACTTTGCGGTTCCTAATCTCGGCTTCAAAGGTCCAGGTTCTCTCCGTCACTGACCTTGGGCTCTCCGAGCTCACATGTGCCCATCTGCGTAAGGGGTACAAGTCCCCCCGCCTCACAGTGCTCTGGGAGGGTTAAGTCGGGTAACCTGTTGATCGCACAAAAGCCTGGCTCCAGGTCGGTGCCACAAATGTGTTTCATCCTCCTTCCTAGTCTCTGACCTCCCTCCCTCTCCCTCTCCCCCTGTTATCTGACACCAAATGCATAATCCGGTCCCTTCCCTCCTTCCTCCCCCAGGAGCTCCTGGGACACCGGACTCTGCAGGTAAGGAAGCCTCCGGGCCCCTGGCGCCACCCCCTCCCTAACCTTGGCCCTGCGCCTCTCCCATCGCAGGATCCCACGTGCCTGCCAGCGCGCCCCCCCCCCCCCCGTCTTCCGCCCATCCTCGCGCCCTGCTTGTCCCCTGCAGCCTGCGGGCAGCCCCAGGTGTCCAGTCGGATCGTGGGGGGCCGGGACGCTCGGGACGGACAGTGGCCGTGGCAGGCGAGCATCCAGCACCGCGGGGCGCACGTGTGCGGGGGCTCGCTCATCGCCCCACAGTGGGTGCTGACGGCGGCGCACTGCTTCCCGAGGTCAGCGGGGTGCAGGGGCGCCGCCAGGCCGGCTCCGGGGGATGCGGCGGCCCGGGGTGCCGCGGGGACCGGGGAGGGGCCGCCGTCCGCAGCACCGCCTCTGTCCCGCAGGCGGGTGCTGCCGTCGGAGTACCGCGTGCGCCTTGGGGCGCTGCGCCTGGGTCCCGCCTCGCACGGCGCGCTCTCGGCGCCCGTGCGCAGGGTGCTGCTCCCCCCAGACTACTCGGAGGGTAACGGCCGTGGCGACCTGGCGCTGCTGCAGCTGAGCCGCCCGGTGCCCCTGAGCGCCCGCATCCAGCCCGTCTGTCTGCCCGAGCCCGGGGCCCACCCGCCGCTTGGAACGCCCTGCTGGGTCACTGGCTGGGGCAGCCTCCACCCCGGAGGTGAGGCAGTGGGGGGGGTGGGGGAGGGACAGGGGATCCTCCTCCACCTCCCTCTGACCGGGAGCCCCCCACTCTCCCAATCCGGGACCCAGCGAGACCTCCAGGGACCCAGACCTCCTCCCGGTCAGACAGGCGGGTCCCACCACTCCTGCTTCCTGCCTCGCCCGCCCCCCCCCCCCCCCCCCGCTCCTATAGTCCCCCTTCCTCCCCCCAGTGCCACTCCCAGAGTGGCGACCTCTGCAGGGAGTAAGGGTGCCGCTGCTGGACGTGCGCACCTGTGACCGCCTCTACCACGTGGGCACCAGTGTGCCCAGAGCGGAGCACATAGTGCTGCCCGGGAACCTGTGTGCCGGCTACGTCGAGGGCCACAAAGATGCCTGCCAGGTGCGGGAAGCTGCCTGGAGCCCCTGGAACCCGGCTCCCGTCCCAGCTCCCTGGAACCCAAGACCCAGGGGCTGTACCTCCTGGCCCCCAACCCCCAGAAATGCCATCCCAGATCTTCAGAGGGCTGAGATCTAAGCCTGACTTTCTCCTGCAGGGTGACTCTGGGGGACCCCTGACCTGTGTGACGTCTGGGCGCTGGGTCCTAGTGGGTGTGGTGAGCTGGGGCAAGGGCTGTGCGCTGCCCAACCGTCCAGGTGTCTACACCAATGTGGCCACTTACAGCCCCTGGATTCGGGCTCGCCTCAGCCTCTAAGGCAGTGAGCTGGAGCCAGAGGCTGGGGTCCCTCTGAGGACCTGCACGTTCCCTCCCACCTTGCCCCTTCCCACTTAAGGCTCATAAGCCTTAGAAAGCTGCGGGCCATCCGTCTCTCCATCCCCTGCCTCCTCCTTGGAGCTCACCAAACCCTAGCCGCCAGCCCTCCTCCTGGAGCCTCCCCTGCGTCCCCGGGTCTCACACTCCTCCTTCCCCGTCCTGCTCACTTTTACCCTTCTCTGCTCCAGTCAGGGGCCTGGGCACCCAGAGGCGGGCAAGCCAGCTGGTGCCCGGTCTGGCCCGTGTGCCTGCCTTTTTCTGGAGGAAGTCAGGGAAATTCAAAGTGTGAGAGCGATTCAGCCCCAGAGAGATGATTCTCCATTGCTGGCTTTGAACATGGAGGAGCTGCTGGCGAGGAGCCACAGGAGAGCGGCCTCCAGGAGCGGAGGGCAGCCCCCGGCGGCGGACAGCCAGCAGGGGGCACCTCCGTGCCCCGACTGCAAGGAAGGGAAGCTGGCCGACAACCTGAATGAGCTTGGGACCCAGTTCTCCCCACAGCCTCCGGAGGAGCGCCCCCCTCCCCGCCCCGCCCCCCCTGCATCAGCGTCCCCACCAGACCAGACCCTTGAACCCAGCGGAGCCCACCCAGACCTCTGGCCTGCAGAGTTATGACTTAATAAATTTGTGTTGGTTCAGGCCGCCATGTTGCTGGTCTTTGACTACGCAGCAACAGAAAACATACAGATCGTGCCCTGTTGCATTGGGGTCTGGGTGAGCGCGCCATGTGCTCTGAAAGGCTCAGGGGCCTCGGCACCTGGCATCATGCCCTCTGGGCCGGGAGCCCCCAGGCAGGCCTGGCCAGAACTCCTGCTGTGCCTGATTGGTTCCGTTGTTATAACCATACTTGCGGGAGGGTCTGGGGCTGTGTCCTCCCCGTGGCAGGGGCCCGCAGACCCAGGACCCCCCCCCCCACCTGCATCTGGCCCTTTGCGGCTCCCTGCCCACCCTTGTGTGCCTGGGACCTGGGTCCAGTCCCCTCCCTGCCATCTCCTCATTCCCAGGCCAAAGACCATCCATCCCAATAGATACAGCTCAGTTTCTAGAACTGCAGAAGGAACAAGAAATGGAACAAACCCTGGAAACCCCAAAGCCTAATCGTTGGAGCTACGAGGGCCAGTGGAGGAATGGGATGGGGGAGGCCATCATCAAAGGTGCAGCCTGGCGGGGCAGGCCTGAGCCACGCGGGGCAGGCCCTCCACCTGGGGTAGAGCTTCACCGCCCTTGGAGGGTGGTTATCGGGGAGCAGGGCGTCCGGAATGGGGCTTGTCTGTGGACATGTCAGCAAGGGGACCCTGGTGACCGCTGCTGGGTGATGCCGGCCATCCTCGGTGGCTCCCTCCGTCTGGAGCCAGCTAAGGGGCCTTCCCCAGGACGCCTCCCAAGACACTGAGGTGGGAACAAGCCAGGGGCCGGGAGCCAGTCTGCTTCAGCCTGGGACTTGCTGTGACTCGAGTAAAGGGTCCGCATTCAGAGAGCGCTGTGTTTCTGAAGCATGAACTGGGAGCTAAACGTGGGAGTCCAGAAGCCAGAGAAACAGGATCTGGGCGTGGAAGGGAAGGTCAGGGAACGAGAAGAGGTCAGCTACTCCTCATCAAGCCCTTATGAGATGCCATGCAGAGAGCTTTGCTGCACCGTCTCATGGGATCCTCACCTGACACCCATTTGCCAGATGAGAAAGCTAAGGCCCAAAGGCACGTGGCTGGTAGATGGCAGAGTGGGATTCCAACCCAGGTGGTCTGATCGCGGAGGTAGCTGGAACGGCAGGGGCGGGGTCACAATTGCCTCTCCACGTGCTGCCCCCTAGCACGGGCTCCGGCCCCTTCCGGTCCCTTCCGGCCGCACCAGCTCCATGAGGCTGGGCAGGCGGCAGGTCTCGGCGCAGCCGACTCAGGGGCACCGGGCCCTGTGCTGGAGCATCCCGTCTGTCTGCAAGGTCAGTGGGGGCTTGGGGGTAACCTGGCCCTGCATCAGCCACAGCTGCCTGACCTACCAGGTGACAGGCTGGGAGGCTGTGCAGCCCGGAGGGGAGCACCCGGGGCGGCAAGGGTGGTCCTGGGAAGTCTCAAGCATGGGGGACGCTGCGCTCCTGTCTAAGGCAGGCGTTTCCTGGCTGTCCGCCGACTCTAGTTGGGGATGCTGCAAGCAGACGGCCCAGCCTCCCCCAAGAGTTCCGACTTGGCCTCGGTTTCCCCTGTGTCCTCTGAATTGCTACCACCCACCATGTCGGGCTGCTGGGAGGGCTAAGAGGACGGCTGAGACCCCCGCCCTTCTGCCCACCGAGCCTGCATGCTGTGCTTTGCACGAGCGCGCTCTCGCTCGCTCTAGGGACACCCGGGAGGTGCCCTCGTTTTCAAGTTCACGCGTGGGGAGACAGGCCCAGAGAGGTTAAACAGCGCGAGCCCGTAGCCGGTAAGCGGTGAAGCTAGGTTGCAGCTGGGCAACTGACTCAGGCCCCACACCCGGTTGTGCGTCTTGCCTTGTGGCCAGGACAGTAGTCGTGAAACACTCTACAAATGGGAGGCACGCTTCGTAACTACCGGTGATGACAATTACTAATCAACGTTTAACACAAAAAGGAGGGGAAGGCCCACTAGGTCGAGACCCCGCCAGCTTAGTCTGGAGGCCAGAGAAGGGTCCCTGTCTTGAGCGTTGGGTGGTCGAGGTGAGGGGGCCGAAAGGGCCCAGACAGCCTTCCTGTGCAGAGAACCAAGAGCAGTGGGCCGGCCAGCTCACCCACCATCTTGAGGTTCTGGTGCCGTCCGTCATGGCCCCGGTGAGGCCGCAGAGCGGGGGCTGGAGGTCAGCCCCCTCTCCCCCTCAAGCCCCTCCTGAGCCCACTCCCACGGCAGGAGGCATCCTTGCAAGGCCTACGGTCCACCCCCTACAACCGACCCACCAGGTCTGCGGCACCGTGGGGTTCACAGAGACACCCAGAGGGGAAGGGCTCATGGCGGGCAAGGCCCCTGCCCTACTCGCCACCTCCCCTAGGCCGGGTGACCTCTGACAGCAGAGACCGCCGGAATCGGACACCAGTCATTACCCAAACCCTTGCTCTGTGCCGTGTGCGTTGGCTCATTAATGCTCCCCAATGCCTTATGGAATCCAGCTGTGTGTCCGTCCCCTTCGCGGATGGGACAACGGGTGGAGGCTCAGCGCCGTGCCAGAGATCACAGTTAACGAGCTGATATTTGACCCAGGTGGTCTGCCCGAGGGTGGGTGGAGACAGGCGTGAGCCTCGGAGGGAGGGAGTGTGGGTCCACTCAGGGGGACTCCCGGTAGGCATCCTGAGCTGTGACACCAGCAGGGGCAAAGCCAACAAGGCAGGTGTGTACGTGGCAGCAGGGCTGAGAGTCAGGACAATATGCCCAGGTGCAGCCGGGTCACAACATCCTAGGTGGAAAGGAGGCCCCTCCTTTCCCCACACACTGGGCTTTTTTTTTTTTTTTTTAAACATTTATTTATTTTTGAGAGGGACAAAGAATCCCAAGCAGGCTCCAGACTCAGAGCTGTCAGCACCGAGCCCGACGTGAGGCTCGAACCCACAAACCACAAGATCATGACCTGAGCCAAAGTTGGACGCTTACCGCCTGAGCCACCCAGGCGCCCCTTTGGACTCCATCTTTAACTGGCACATTCTGGGAGGTCTGCTGGATGCCTCTGAGAGCGTGACTGGCCTCCCACGGTCCGTCCACATCCCTTCCCTGCCCCATGCTCTCCCTCTTCAGCAGTACAGGATCTAAAGCCTCCAAATCTCTGTGCACAAAGATGCTGAGGTTAAGATGGAAATCTCTGACCTGAGCCGAGGACCCGCCACGTCAGTTACTTGTCCACAGCCTCCTGACTCAGGTGATGAAGTCAAGGTCAGCCAGCGGCTGGGGAGCTAGCAGGGAGCAGGGGCTGCCTAGGCTCAGAGAGGGAAGAGTCACAGGAGGGGAAAGGACCTGAGGCGGCTCCAGAGAGCCAGGGGCTAGAACTCAAAATGACAATAATTATGTTCACAGTGTTAGAAACCTCTGTTGAGTACCAATTCTTGATGAAAACGTACACACTTGACAAACAGCCATTCCTCGCATCTTAAAGAAGAGGACATTAGACTTTCGCGAGTTTTCTCACCCAAAGCTGCAGTCAGCGCCGAGAGCAAGGATTTGAATCCCTCGTGGCCTGAGGCCAGAGCCTGCGTGTGAAAAATTAGTAAATGGAAACCTCGTTTAGTCGGGAGGCCAGCAGAGGGAGTTCTCAGCATCGCAGCCCAAGCTGGGATCTCGCCAGGTGGGTGCTCTTCACCAACCCGACGGGGAAGGTTTCCTCCTCCCTTGGCAACGGCTCCGCCAATGAGAGGCTCTCACAGCCCAGCCAATGAAAAGCCAGTATACTTAGACCTCCCACCGTATGCCAATGAACTTTGCTTGCGACAGCCCTGTTGCTCCTTGATGACAGTCTCCTTGGTCTCTGCGCTTGCCTATAGCCTTGCTGAAGCTTGCTTGCTGCGGATTGTAACTGTCTGGTATCCCCGGATAAGCCCAGTTTTGCTGGTGAAATAACTCATTTTTTATTTCCTAAGGTTAACAGTTGTCAGTCACCAGCTTGATTCAGGGCCAAGGCAGCAGCACCTTCAGATTCTGCCCTCTCGAGAATTCTCAAGTTGCAGCCCCGCAACTGCACAGCTGTTTGGCATCCGAGGCCTTCCACCTGCTCACGGGGCGCCCTGAGCCTGACGCGTCCTCAGGGACCCAGTTGAGGCGCTCTCCCTCCAAGGGGCTGGTTACGCAAGAGAGAAAAAAGCCTCATTTTTTTCTCGCTCTAGTGTAACTACAATCTGGGGCAAGGCAGGACAGTGTCCCAACACCCGGGGAAGTAAGGGGTAGGCGTCGGTAGGGCAGCCCCGTAGAAGGGCAGCCGGCCAGGGAAATCAAGCCTACAGGCCCTCCCAGAGCCCAAGTGGACCTAGGTCCCTGGGTCGGGGGGGGGGGTCTCCTCTTTCCTCCGTCCCTGGAGCGAACCATCTTGCACCGTGCCTTGCTTTTCCCCGGAAGTTCGCCGGGCCCCTCCCTAACCCAGGGAGCAGCTTCCTGGGGTCCTTCCAGGCCTCAAAAGCCCGGCCCAGGCTGGGCGGGGAAAGTGGGGACAGCCCACCCATGGAGGTAGCCGGAAGGTCCAGAATTATCACCCCCTCGGGATGGACGGCAGGAGGCGCTCGCCCTCACACGGCAGCCCAGGTCGCGCTGAGACGCAAAAGTCCTGCCGCCCCGATGACCAGGAGGCACAACAATTCGCTGACTATTCCTGGGATGGGGGGATACGCTACGCTCGCCAAGTCATTCCCCAACGTCCCCCAAAGAGGGCTGAGCCTGCGCCCAGACTGCTCCCTGACTGCGACAGGGGCGCCTCGGCCTTGCCACTCCCAAGATGGCGCCACTACCTGCCACTTCAGGTCTCTGCCCCACTCTCCACGCCACGGCGCCGAGATGGCGGCCGGACGCGCGGTCTGACCGAGCCGCCGGCGCATCGCTTAAAATGGCGGCCGCTGGGCGGGGCGGCCGGGC